ATTAAAAACCAAGCTTCCAGGATCTTATTTTATGATCTAACAATATAACATGAGTATTTCCTTGAGTCATTAACGATTTAGCAATGTGGTTTTTAATAGCTACATAAAATTACATCATATGGAATTATATACATAATTTATTATATCTATTATATACATAATTTACTTAAACAATTCCCTGTTACTAGACATTAGACTGTCTCCACTTCACTACTTAAGGGATTGCCAGACTTTGGCAACTTAATTCCTTTTTATTTCTTCAGACTTAGTCCTTTGTACCCGTGTGTCATTGGCTGTTTAAATGCCCTTCTCTTTAAGTCACAATTCTTAATTTTACTTTAGGTTTTTAAAAGTTGCAGTTTTTAGCTTTTCACTAATATAAGCCTTCTATATCAATAGTGGTTTAAAAATATTGTTTGTAATTGTTAATATGCTGATGAATTGGATTAATATACTAGCTTGGGTTTTTTTTGTGTTTTTTTTTTGCTATCATTAATGTACAATTACATGAACAACATTATGGTTACTAGACTCCCCCTATTATCAAGTCTCCACCACATACCCCATTACAGTCACTATCCATCAGTGTAGTAAGATGCTATAAATCACTACTTGTCTTCTCTGTGTTATATTGCCTTCCCCATGTCCCCCCCTACATTATATGTGCTAATTGTGATACCCCTTTTTCCCCCTTATCCTTCCCTTCCCACCCATCCTCCCCAATCCCTTTTCCCTTTGGTAACTATTAGTCCATTCTTGGATTCTGTGAGTCTGCTGATGTTTTTACATTTATCAAACAAATACAGTTTGTGGCACAGTTTTTGCTTTGCTCTTATACTCCACAGATGAATGAAATCATTTGATACTTGTCTTTCTCTGCCTGGCTTATTTCACTGAGCATAATACCCTCTAGCTCCATCCATGTTGTTGCGAATGGTAGGATTTGTTTTCTTCTTATGGCTGAGTAATATTCCATTGTGTATATGTACCACATCTTCTTTATNTGCTGCATTCTTAGGGTAAATTCCTAGAAGTGGAATTCCTGGGTCAAATGGTATTTCTATTTTGAGCATTTTGAGGAACCTCCATACTGCTTTCCACAATGGTTGAACTAATTTACATTCCCACCAGGAGTGTAGGAGGGTTCCCCTGTCTCCACACCCTTACCAACATTTGTTCTTGATTGTCTTTTCGATGATGGTGATCCTTACTGGTGTGAGGTGATATCTCATTGTGGTTTTAATTTGCATTTCTCTGATGATAAGCGATGTGGAGCATCTTTTCATGTGTCTGTTGGCTATCTGAATTTCTTCTTTAGAGAACTGTCTCTCTGCCCATTTTTTAATTGGATTATTTGCTTTTTGTTTGTTGAGGTGTATGAGCTCTTTATATATGTTGGATGTCAGCCCTTTATCAGAAATGTCATTTATGAATATATTCTCCCATACTGTAGGATGCCTTTTTGTCCTACTGATGGTGTCTTTTGCTGTACAGAAGCTTTTTAGTTTGATATAGTCCCACTTGTCCATTTTTGCTTTTGTTTCCCTTGCCCAGGGAGATATGTTCATGAAGAAGTTGCTCATGTTTATGTCCAAGAGATTTTTGCCTATCTTTTTTTCTAAGAGTTTTATGGTTTCATGACTTATTATATGTATAATTTAGGAATTAGGTCTTAGATCCATTCTGAGTTTACTTTTGTGCATAGTGTTAGACAATAATCCAGTTTCATTCTCTTACACGGAGCTGTCCAGTTTTGCCAACACCATCTGTTAAAGAGGCTGTCATTTCCCCATTGTATATCCATGGCTCCTTTATCGTATATTAATTGACCATATATGGTTGGGTAATATCCGGGCTCTCTAGTCTGTTCCATTGGTCTATGGGTCTGTTTTTGTGCCAGAACCAAATTGTCTTGATTACTGTGGCTTTGTAGTAGAGCTTGAAGTCAGGGAGCATATTCCCCCCCAGCTTTATTCTTCCTTCTCAGGATTGCTTTGGCTATTCAGGGTCTTTTGTGGTTCTATATGAATTTTAGAACTACTTGCTCTAGTTCATTGAAGATTGCTGTTGGTATTTTGATAGGGATTGCATTGAATCTGTAGATTGTTTTAGGCAGGGTGGCCATTTTGACAATATTAATTTTTCCTATACATGAGCATGGGATGTATTTCCATTTATTGGTATCTTATTTAATTTCTCTCATGAGTGTCTTGTAGTTTTCAGAGTATAGGTCTTTCACTTCCTTGGTTAGGCTTATTCCTAGGTATTTTATTCCTTTTGATGCAATTGTGAATGGAATTGTTTTCCTGATTTCTCTTTCTGTTAAATCATCATTAGTGTATAGGAATGCAACAGATTTCTGTGTATTAACTTTGTATCCCTCAACTTTGCTGAATTCAGATATTAATCTAGTAGTTTTAGAGTGGATTCTTTAGGGTTTTTTATGTACAATATCATGTCATCTGCAAACAGGGGCAATTTGACTTCTTCCTTGCCGTTTAGATGCCTTTTATTTCTTTGTGTTGTCTGATTGCCATGGCTAGGACCTCCAGAACTATGTTGAATAAAAGTGGGGAGGGTGGACATCCTTGTCTTGTTCCTGATCTTAAAGGAAAAGCTTTCAGCTTCCTGCTGTTAAGTATAATGTTGGTTGTGGGTTTGTCATATATGGCCTTTATTATGTTGAGGTACTTGCCCTCTATACCCATTTTGTTGAGAGTTTTTATCATGAATGGATGTTGAATTTTGTCAAATGCTTTTTCAGTATCTATGTAGAGATAATCATGTGGTTTTTGTCCTGTTTGCTGATGTGGATGATGTTGATGGATTTTCGAATGTTGTACTATCCTTGCATCCCTGGGATGAATCCCTCTTCAACATGATGTATGATCTTTTTGATGTATTTTTGTATTCGGTTTGCTAGTATTTTGTTGAGTATTTTTGCATCTATGTTCATCAGGTATATAGGTCTGTAATTTTCTTTTTTTGTGGTGTCTTTGTCTGGTTTTGGTATTAGAGTGATGTTGGCCTAGTAGAATGGATTTGGGAGTATTCCCGCCTCTTGTACTTTTTGGAAAACTTTAAGGAGGATGGGTATTAAGTCTTCACTGAGTGTTTGATAAAATTCAGCAGTGAAACCATCTAGTCCAGGAGTTTTGTTCTTAGGTAGTTTTTTGATTACCAATTCAATTTTCTTGCTGGTAATTGGTATATTCAGATTTTCTGTTTCTTCCTGGGTCAGCCTTGGAAGGTTGTATTTTTCTAGAAAGTTGTCCATTTCTTGTAGGTTATCCAGTTTCTTATAATATAATTTTTCATAGTATCCTGTCACAATTCTTTGCATTTCTGTGGTATCTGTAGTGATTTTTCCTTTCTCATTTCTGATTCTGTTTATGTATGTAGACTCTCTTTTTTTCTTGATAAGTCTGGCTAGGGGTTTATCTATTTTGTTTATCTTGCTTTCATTGATTCTTTCTATTGTTTTATTCTTCTTGATTTAATTTATTTCTGCTCTAATCTTTATTATGTCCCTCCTTCTACTGACTTGGTGCCTCATTTGTTCTTCCTTTTCTGGTTTCATTAATTGTGAGTTTAAACTGTTCATTTGGGATTTTTCTTCTTTCCTGAGGTAGGCCTGTATTGCAATATACTTCACTCTTAGCACAGCCTTTGCTGCGTCCCGCAGATTTTGCAGTGTTGAATTATTGTTGTCATTTGTCTCCATGTATTGCTTGATCTCTGTTTTTATTTGGTCATTGATCCATTGATTATTTAGGAGCATGTTGTTAAGCCTCCATGTGTTTGTGGGCTTTTTCGATTTCTTTGTGTAATTTATTTCTTGTTTCATACCTTTGTGATCTGAGAAACTGGTTGGTACAGTTTCAATCTTTTTGAATTTACTGAGGCTCTTTTTGTGGCCTAGTGTATGATCTATTCTTGAAAATGTTCCATGTGCACTGGAGAAGAACGTGTATCCTGTTGCTTTTGGATGAAGTGTTCTATCAATGTCTATTAGGTCCATCAATTCTAATATGTTATTCAGTGCCTCTGTCTCTTTACTTATTTTCTGTCTGGTTGATCTGTCCTTTGGAGTGAGTGGTGTGTTGAATTCTCCTAAAATGAATGCATTGCATTCTATTTCCCCCATTAATTCTGTTACTATTTGTTTCACATATGTAGGTGATCCTGTGTTGGGTGCATAGATATTTGTAATAGTTATATCCTCTTGTTGGACTGACCCCTTTTATCACTATGTAATATCCTTCTTTGACTCTTGTTACTTTTTTTGTTTTGAAGTCTATTTTGTCTGATACAAGTACTGCAACCCCTACTTTTTTCTCCCTGTTAGTTGCATGAAATACCTCCATCCCTTCACTTTCAGTCTTTATTTGTCTTTGGGTTTGAAGTGAGTCTCTTGTAGCAGCATATAGATGGGTCTTGTTTTTTTATCCATTCAGTGACTCTATGTCTTTTGATTGGTGCATTCGGACCATTTACATTTAGGGTGATTGTCAATAGGTATGTACTTATTGCCATTGCAGGCTTTTCATTCATGGTTACCAAAGGTTCAAGGGTAATCCCCTTACTATCTAACAGTCTAATTTAAGTCACTTTGTATGCTATTACAAACACAACCTAAAGGTTCTTTTTTTTTCCTCCTTTTTCTTCCTCCTCCATTCTTTATATGTTAGGCATCATATTCTGTACTCTTTGTCTATCCCTATATTGACTTTGGGGGTAGTTGATTTGATTTTGCATCTGCTTAGTAATTAATTTTTCTACTTTGCTGTGATTTTATTTCCCCTGGTGACATCTATTTAGTCTTAGGAATACTTCCATCTATAGCAGTCCCTCCAAAATGCACTGTAGAGGTGGTTTGTGGGAGGTCAATTCTCTCAGCTTTTGCTTATCTGAACATTGTTTAATCCCTCCTTCAGATTTAAATGATAACCTTGCCAGGTAGAGTATTTATACTAGCTTGTTTTTAAAAATAATTTTAGGAGTATATATCCTGGGGAAATATGGACAGAAGAAAATCAGAGAAATACAAGAAAGGGAGGCTGCGGAATATATTGCCCAAGCACGGAGACAGTATCATTTTGAAAGTAACCAGAGGACTTGCAATATGACAGGTAAGGCCAAGAGAAATATTTATATATGAAAAAAGCTACTTCATGGCTTGTATTAATTTGCATACCTCCAAGGACAGACTTAAGGGAAAAGGCAAGGGCAAAGGAGAATGATAAATCTAGCCAGTACTTACATGATTTAACTGAAATATACCATTTAATGTAGATTTAAAAAATCAGTATAAATCATATAATATAAAAGCCTGTTCATTCATTCTTTTTATTCATTTAAAAATACTTGGAGTGCCCAGCGTTGGAAAATAGATGGTAAATAATAAAAAAAAAATACCCTGACCTTCAAAGTTTATATGCTAGTGAAAGAAAAATAAACAACAAATAAAGAGACAGTGATGGCTGCTATGTATATAAGGAATATAAAGCTGTGTGAGGAGTGGGGATGCTCTTTAAGATAGAGCAGTCAGGAGAGTCAGGCCTCTTGGAGGAGGTGACATCTGATGAGAAACCAACCAATACAGTGGAAGGAGCCATGCAAAAATGCCAAATTTTGAAGAGAACAGGTATAACCAGCATAACTCCTTTAAAAAATAGTTCTCAAATCCACGTCAAACATGGTTCTTATTGTTTTAAACTTAATTCTTCCTCTGACATTTCTTTCAAGGATAATTAACTTAGAAAGAATTTATAAAGGTAGTGTCTTATTCAATTTTAAAAGAAATTTTTTCAGAGTTGAAAGGACTTGAGTTCAGTCTCATTTGACTGTGAAAGGGGGTGAGATTAAGGAGGTTAAGAGACACATCCAGTTACAGCTGGAGTATATTTTTAATATTTGAAATAATAATATTGCATTCTATAAAGCAAACAGTAATCATAAATACTGTAAATGATGACAATGCAGATGTGGCACAGTGAGTTCAGATCCCAGTTTTGCCCTGTCAATCTGCATGTCTCTAGGCAAATCTAAATCTCAGTTCTCTATACGGTGATCATCATAAAACCCACTTCATAAATGTTTTGTGAGAATGTGATGAAATAATGAACATAAAGTGCTTGATGCATACTAAATATCCAGTAAATGATAAATTTTTTAAATTACATAATTATTTAAATTAATATTCAGCATTCAATATGGTGGTGCTACAAGGATATTTTAATTAATTTTTAGAGAATAAGAACAGTTTATTTCTGGTTATTACTCAGATTTTCAGAAAATAGAAACAGAGAGCTCCTGGAGTCTCAAAATACATCTCAGTTTGACTTGGACCCTTGTGTCAGTTTGGGTTCTCTTGGAAGCAGATGCCATGATGGAATTAAATGTGCAAGGGATTTATTGAGGGAAGCACCTGCGAAGAATAAAGGGGAGGAAGCAGAAGTAGGCAAGGAAAGCCTTTAGACCACAGTGCAGGTCTGACATGCGAGTAGAGAGGGAAAAGGAAGGAAGATCAGGTAGTTGGAGGCTCAATTCTAAAAAAGTTTTGGCAGGCCAGTAAGGAGTCCTCAAAACAGAGTTCCCTGGTAGAGGAGTCCCACGGGAATGGACCTGCCGTAGAAGCCCCACCAGGCACCTCCACGGGCTGGGAGCAGCACAGACATGGTGATGGATCCGGAGGGCTGGCAGCTACTATGCTCCTTCCAGCAGAAGATGTGGTGGCACATTTCCATGAGCATTACAACCCCCAGATGAATACAGAGCTGACCACAGCCAATTAAAAATAAAGCATGGTGATCACTAGGAGCCAAAATAGAGGTTCACTGAAAAACTTTCCAAATTAACCTTCTGGTATGCATTAATAACTGAGTTAGAAATCATATAATTAAATTTTTATCCTTCTGAATGGAATGTAATGGAAATAGTTGAAAAATAGTTTTTTTTAAATATAGCTAGTTTTTTTACTCAAAAAGTTGGTCCCCATTTGAAAGATAGCATCTAACAAAGTGCTTCTGTGCCCTGCTCATTGGCTTTATCGGTTTCATGATTTTACTGAAGATTTAGGCCAAATTTGCACAAGACCCAGTGCTTGGACACATAGCTGACACCATAAATGAAGTTTAAGGAAACAACATAGGCTTGTCCTATATTAATGATAGGCTGGAATAAATGAATTGTTCTGTATTAAGTCATTTGTACTGATACAGAATTATTCAAGCTTGCTTGGAAGCAGGATTTATATGAGTAAGAATTGGGTCTAGTTGAGCAAAAGCTTGTTATGAACAATAGTAGAATGTGACTTCTAGAAATACTAATTTAATCTTGGACTACAGTCATGAAGTTTGTGGTTCAAATCAAAAGTAGTTACTGCATGCTCTGCTGTAGTCAGAGTACAGATCCATTTCTGCCACTCACATGTTAAGAAGATACAAACTAGAATGTGTCAGAAGAAGCCAAATAAGGATAATAATAAGCACTAACCCTGAGCATTTCTGTATACAAAGAAAGCACTCTGCTGAATTCTTTATATGTCTCAATTAATGATTACCACAATCCTATAAGGTAGATCCAATGTCACTCCAGTTTACAGATAAGAAAACTAAGGCCCAGAGAGGTCAAGTAACGTGCTCAGGGTTACACAAATTAATGGCTGGTAAAGGATCATCTTGTCATTTGCGGTTGGACTGGGGACGTTTATCATGGAGACCAGCTGGCTGAGGGAAGACATGACTGCTGTATCCAAGTGAATACAGAAACATATTTGTTCCGTGTTAATACAATGGCTGGAAGAGAGGACCAGACTGTCTTTGGTTGAATAGGCTGAAGTGGAAAGTAAAACACTCTTCTCTCTCAGGAGAATTATTGAAGAGACTCCTCTTAAATCATGTTGTTATACCACATAATCTTTAAACCAGTTCGGTACTAACTTCATTTTGTGAATGTAGGACTCCAGCCTTGCCTTTTCTTGGTAAGGTAACATCATGTTTGGGTTAGATATATATACCAAGTATGTTAAGAGACAAGCTACATTGTACTTGGGCTCTGAGCTGCTACTTCACTTAATGGTCTAAATGACTTAGGTGATTTAATCATACAGTTTGGGGAAATAGACTAAAGCTACATGGTGCAGCACTGAAATAAATACCTAGAGTCAGTTACAAGCTGAATTGTCTATAGAAAAAAATAATAGGAATTTTGTAATTATGTCTCGCCTAGTCAAGAAGTAAAAATTATACACTGAAGTTTTACCTTTTAGAATGTGGCATTTGTGATCTCTTGATAGTTTTTCATTTTCATCATTATTTAATTTTAGAAACTCATTTTAAATTTATGTATGTGCATTTCTCTAACCCATCTTATACCATGTGTAGAGCTGTAAATAAGGCTCCTATAAATTACATGGAATGTTTTCTCCATAGAGTACTCTATCTTATTTTCTCTTTGTGTTATTCTTGGGAGTTACAGGCAGTAGCCATTGGCAAAACCAAAACCACAGCTCAGCAGCTCTTAATTCATAGCCTGATGCATACTTATCTAGGTCATAATAAATATTTACTGCTGTTTAGTGTTCAATAAGTAAACTTTTTTCTAAAATTAGAAATAAAATATGAAGCAAAAAGTATAGCTAAAGATTATAATGTTGCTTTTGATCATATTATTATATCAGAAATAAACATTCATTGTGAAAAATTTTGAGTATAGAAAAGAAAGACTTATCCGCCATCCATAGCCCAAACCCACCACTGTTAATATCTGGGAATAATTCTTCCCATACTTTCTTCTATGTGTATTTGTTACTATGACCATAGTGTATGCATAATTTTGTTCATTTAACATAAGCAGATAAATGATTTGTTAGTATGTCATCAGTTTTTATTAATAATTTGAAAATTCTAACCCTGACTTTCTCTTCCAACCCTTATGAGTTGCTAGTTCTGTCATATAGCCTAAAACACTGAATTTCTCAGTGAAAGCAGTCACATCACCTGTGAACTTTCTGATTTTCTGTTCATATTACAGTGCTATCCATGCTTCCAACACTGAGAGAGGCCTTAATGCAGCAACTCAACTCTGAGAGCCTCACAGCTCTGCTAAAAAACAGGTAAATGCAACATACAGTGTTTTTAATTTACATATTACACTTAAATTTATAGGATGAACTGGAATACTTTTTGAAAGTCTTTGTTTCCTTATTTCTCTTTCTAATTAAAACTTATAACTTGCGGGCTTACTTAGAAAAAATATTTACTAACTATGTCATTGAGTTCATATTTTGTCTGTCTGTTTATGCTATATTTTGATGCATAAAGTATTTAGGTCAATAATATTTATATGTATTCTGGTTTCCAAATAAATAATCTTATATCACTTTGACCTTATTCAGAAATGTACTGACTACTTATGGAATGTGTTCCTAAACCAGATATTGTGAAGCTAAATTATATTAAGCATTGTATTTATTAAAGAGTTTACAGTTTAATAGGTAAAGCATGTGAACATATATTTTAGATAAATAAGGCATATGATCTTATTCTTTATATTATCAACAGATGAAATAAAAATATAACAAGAGCATACAGTGATTATTTACCTTACCATGACAGATTACTGTGTAGAAAGCACTTGCCGACATATGACCTTACATATGGAGTACAGTGTGTGCTGGGGTATAGTAATTTAGGGGGATGCTGTGTTAGTTTGATGAGACTTCCAGAAGGAAATGGCTTTTCATTTTAATGAACAAGTTGGATGAAATGGTTTCACTAAAAAAAAAATTTAATCATTGTAGCCTTACTGAAATACTCTCTTTCCTTCTAATTGTTATGGATTGAGTTATTTCTCCTCAGTCCTTGTCCCTGCCACAAAAAAGAATTGAAAGGCAGAGACACAGTAGCAAAGTAAAGTGAAAGTTTTATTTCAATACACTTTGACAGAAAAGCGGGCCAGAGTCAAGGTAGACAAAAGCCTCCATCCTTTAGGCGAGAGGCCTATATATTGCATTTTGGCTAAGAGGCACCTCTTTGATTGACAAGGTGGGGTTATTTGATTGACAGGTGCTTATGTATAGCCATCCCTCTCAGTGCTGATGTCCTTTCATTTGATGAGGTGTGTTTTGGGAAGTTCACAGTTTTGCTTGATTGGGCCCACACTGGGATCAGGTTGGGACCAGTGTGGCCTGGTCCTGACGGGCAAAGAGGTTATCTCCCTGCAAAGCCTTTGTTGTCATCATGTGGGACCCCCTCCCTGTGCAGTTTGGGAAGGTTTTCCTTGAACTTTATCTCCTCTCCTCCCCTACCAGCTGCTCATGTCTCTTTCTATCTAACGTGATCACTCTGCAGTAGCCAGGGGAAAGAAGTGCTGTTTCTGGAGTGTCTCTCTCTGTGCCAGTCGCAGTATGAGATACCTTCTGTGCATGCGCCTGATCTGTCTTTAACAATTAAGTTAGTTTTCACACATCCTCCCATTTAATTTCCACAATATCCTTGTGAGGCAGATATTAATCATCTCCATTTTGCAGATAGGAATTTACTTCTCAGGTAAAAATAATAAGCTGGAACGTTTCTTTGAAAACACTTTCTATATTCAGGGAATACCTCCCAAAATAACAATAGATTTACTTAGGACTGTTTAAAAATGTGATTAAAGTATAATGCTAGTGATAAGAGGTTTCCCCCCTAAATTTCATCATTCTTGGAGGTTGACACACTTTCACCACTACTTACAGGTGTTCGATTCAGTTTACAAATTCTTTAAATTATATGAAGAAGAAACATATAAGCAGATTGCTGTCAGACAAGTAATGCTTAATTGCCACCTGCATGTATGTAAATAGTGGATACAGAAAATAGATTTTTATTGCCTTAAGTCTTAGTCTTATTGGAGAGACAAGACAAATGAAGTAAGTAATAATAGCATTTTTTATAACAGGACGCAATAAGAGGTGGCATTCTTCCTTCTTGGTGAATGTTTGCTACAAGGCCCTGTGTTCAGTGAGCTTTAGGGGAGTCATGACAAGTAATATAAGGTCTCTATTTCCCTTTTAGACTTTGATGCCCAAGGGGGGAAGTACATAAAATAAATGATCATAATTCAAGATGTACTATGTTTAGTCTATGGCAAAAAAGTAAAAGCAAAATGTGGGGAGAATATGTGGGAGGATAGAGAAGAAAGGGATTAATTTTGATGGATAATCTTAGACAGTTTTCAAGAAAGGTGACTTTCCTGCTAGTACACAGAAAGGAGAATTTCTTAAATTCCTAAGAGTTTAAGGTGGGCAACAGTTTTCTTTATTCACTGTTTCCTCTTTAAATATCTCAATGTTATTTTTTTCTTGTCTTCCTTCTGATAATGAAATTACTATTTGCAATCCATTTCAAAAATATTTGCATAAGAAGAGGCTTGAGCCCTTGCATGATGTAATAAGGCCTGTAATTTTATGACTGCTTCTCTATTGGTTTTCAGTCAACTCTGGATTCATAGAAGTCAAGCAAGTTAATTTTCTCTTTAAACTAATTATGATAACCAATCAGAAAGAAGTAACAGATTTGCTGGTCTTATTTTTTCAGTTTTATAATAGGAAATAAACATCCATCACTGTTTCCAATACTTGGCATTCTTACTGAAGATTGAAAAATGGCAGTCAAGTTTCAATGGCCAAGAATCTTAGACATCCTCCTCCTTCACAGGAGAGGTAGAATACTTCAACAAGATTAGTTTAATTCTTAAAACAGGTACTTTAGTAACATTAAATAATCTTGTATTTAACTTGAAGTTGATTTCCATCAGACAAATCATTTGAAATACATTTTTGCAAAGAAAGTGTTTTTCTCTGCTTTTCTACTTAGGTTTGGAATAAGAATCTTTAAAATGATAATAAGATGAATCTTTTTCATTTTCTTTGAAAATGTGAAATCACTGAAATGATTACCACAATCTAACTAATTAACATATCCATCACCTCACATAGTTACCATTTTTGTGTGTGTGATGAGACACTTAAGGTTTACTTAAAACTTCAAGTGTACAATTGTACACTTGTACATTATGACTGGCTGTACTCACCATGTGGTGTGATTAGGTCTCCAGAACTTACTTATCTTTTAACTTGTAAGTTTAAATATACTTTTAAGGTCTAAACAGGCACATGAAAAGATGTTCCACATCGCTAATTATCAGAGAAATGCAAATTAAAACCACAATGAGATATCACCTCACACCAGTTAGGATGGCCAACATCCAAAAGACAAAAAACAACAAATGTTGGTGAGGATGTGGAGAAAGGGCAACCCTCCTTACACTTCTGGTGGGAATGTAAACTAGTTCAACCATTGTGGAAAGCAGTATGGAGGTTCCTCAAAAAACTAAAAATAGAAATACCATTTGACCCAGGAATTCCACTCCTAGGAATTTACCCTAAGAATGCAGGAGCCCAGTTTGAAAAAGACATATGCACCCCTATGTTTATCACAGCACTATTTACAATAGGCAAGAAATGGAAGCAACCTAAATGTCCATCAGTAGATGAATGGATAAAGAATATGTGGTACATATACACAGTGGAATATTATTCAGCCATAAAAAGAAAAAAATTCTACCATTTGCAACAACATGGATGGAGCTAGAGGGTATTATGCTCAGTGAAATAAGCCAGGCAGAGAAAGACAAGTATCAAATCATTTCACTCATCTGTGGAGTATAAGAACAAAGAAAAAACTGAAGGAACAAAACAGCAGCAGCATCACAGAACCCAAGAATGGAATAACAGTTACCAAAGGGACAGGGACTGGGGAGGATGGGTGGGAAGGGAGGCATAAGGGGGAAAAAGGGGCATTATGATTAGCACACATAATGTAGTGGGGGGCAGGGGACATGGGAAAGGCAGTATATACAGAGAAGACAAGTAATGATTCTATAGCATCTTACTACACTGATGGACAGTGACTGTAATGGAGTATATGAGGGGGACTTGATAATAGGGGGAGTCTAGTAACCATAATGCTTTTCAAGTAATTGTACATCAATGATACCAAAATAAAAATAATAAAATAAACCCTTAAACTATTACAGGAAAAAAAAATCTACTTTTAAGGTCTAGTGGTGGTGGATGCCAACCTGAAGAAATGTCCTGGGTGGCTGTTTCTCTGTCCTCTCTCAAGACATCACCCCAAATAAATAGATCCAAGAAAAATGCCCTAATTTGTCCTTCCACAGACTGCTATTAAGTACTTCCTATATTGAAGTTTTTGAACTGCTGTTTTCTTATTTCATTTGGATTTATATAAAAAAAACACTTTGAAATTTCTCTGAAGTGACAGTCAAAAGAAAATGTGATTTACTTGCATTAAAACACCTTCAATTTTAGTTGGACCCCATTTTAATCAGAGTAAATATGGCATTCCACCCAAGGCTTCAGCATTGGCTTATAGGTGCAATAGCGGTACTTTGTAGTCTGTACTCATATCTTCTGAACCTGTGCCATCTAAGGAAGGAGTAATGGAAGCTCTAGAATCTGTTCAGTAGCAAAGAAAGATAAGAAGCTAGTAATATCCCACAGTTGTAATGGCAGCTCAACTTACTAAAATATAAATGTATGTATGAATATCAAATAAAGAATATGGGCTTATAGTTTATATATCTTTACGACTTTTTATTTCATTTTTATAGTAATTTATTTTCATTGAATTTTACAAAAGTATTGATCTATGACAGTTTGGAAATAAGAAAGAAAAAAATACTGGTCCTTCCATGTAAGTGGTATGGAAACCACTAAACTCCATCCACATGGTGTAGTCACACTGTGGACTTACTATGCTGTGGTTTAAGAAAAAAAAAAAAGATGACTATTACCTGTGTGCTGCTATGGAATGATCTCCAGGATATATTGTTATATTTTAAAGGTAAAGAAAAATGTGTATAATATGCTACCATTTATCTAAGGAAGCAGATATGAATATATATATACATTTACTTAAATAAAGCAAAACAATGGCAAGTTAAAGTACATTTTTTTAATAGTCACCTATGAGGAAGGGAGAGAATAAAGGGGGATAGGAACAGACTTCTTTGAATATACTGTGTTGTATAAATTTAAATGTGGAACCATATAAATATTTTACTTATGAAACAATATTTAATGTTTAAAAAATGTCTAAAAAGTGATAGTAAAATAAATAAAATTAATTAACATAAATATGTATCTAGTTGGTGGTATAACCACAAAGACAGAAACTATGCTAGGTGACTTTAACACAGAAAGTTGTACACTCTTAGGGCACGCAGAATTGAAAAACCAAAAACCTTTTCAGTATTTATTTTGCTATTTCTGACTATTGTGCATAGAGTGAGGGACAAAGCAAATTAGTAATTATGTTGGTTTCACTAATTTCTAGTGTGGGCTAAAAGAAATACAGATAAATGATCAGTGAAATGAAGTTGAAAACCCTACTGTACTAATTTTGAATTACAAGTATCAATGTGAATTCATGATGTATTTTATCTCTTTGAATAGATAAATATTCATATGTTTATATGAATAATAAACATGCACACATATTTACTGCCTTAGTCTACTGAAAAGGCCTAGAAGTAATGACCTACACAGTAGCAATGAATATCCTTCATCAAAGGTGGCAGTCTCAGACTTCCATTCCCCACTTCAGGAAGCCAGGATGGAGAAATGGGTGATTCAGGTCTGTAGCAAGAACTGAACAAGATAAAACCCAGAACAACTTTTTGTGTCAGTAAACAATAAAGCTATCAAACACTAATGGGGGTCATGTCAAAAAGGTTCAGGAATGAACCTGAATATTTCCCTCAGTGGTCAAAGATGGACAATTTAAACATCAATAAAAGTAATAACTATAATAGGCTGAAATACATCAAATATATATTTAAATTCATGTGTTTATAATGATACTTTAAAACAAAAAGTACTCCATTATTTATCTTTGAAGGATAATAGGATCTACTTCATTGTAAAATGGTAGAGAGAAGAAAAAACAGTTGCTTTTCCTATACGATTTTATAATACATGCATGCATATGTTCAGAAGGAGGAAAAAGACTAGGATGTATACCTATGTAGTAATGAACTGGTTATCATGGGTTACTGAAATGATGATTATTTTTTTACTGTAACTTGTGGCCTTTATTTTCTGCAGTTATCCTGTAATAAAATATAATTAAACAGAGAGCTGTGAAGTTCCACATTTTCTTGTAGATTGCCTGATTATTATTTTCTGATTTTTTTTTCTTTAGGCCTTCAAACAAGCTAGAAATATGGGAGGATCTGAAGATAATAAGTAAGCCTTCCTATTCTGTATGACAGTACATCCTTAGAATATCTATAAAGGGATAACTTTTTTGTGGATGACACTTCTTTACCTCAAAGAGTTGTCAGGATTAAATAATTATCATAAAGCACATAGATTAATGTCTACTCAGAAAATACTTAGTAAATGTTAGTGATTGCAGTGGTATTATTAGTGCTATTGTTATGATAATATATAAACTTATCCTAGACTATATATGCCCATATTATGTAATAATACCTGCAATATTACACTTCAAAATTTTCATTCCATCCAGATAGTAACTTTACTATGATAGTCTATGCAAACTTTCATTGGTGATAATAATTAGAAACAAAATGCTGCTCTGGGGCATATATATCGATGACCCAGAACTTCATACTATCAGTTATTCCTACATTTTCCCAAACATTCAACCAATCCTTATCAACTAGATCATGCTTAAGCTTTGCCTGTTTGAAAATAAGTTAAACCTTTGTGGTACCCTGTATTTCCTTTCAGCCACCCCTGATGTAATACCAAAGATCTCTGTGTTACCTTTTCTTCACTCCCACTCTTTGGCACCCTACAGCCTGGCTTTCCCTCCTGTGTCTCCACCCAAGCAGATCTCACAAGAATCAGCAGTAACTTCCATGTGGCCAAATCCACTGGACATTTTCCTCCTCCTAGACCTCTTAGCTCCTCTCTCTGTATCTTTCTCCAGACCTTTAAAGGACTCATCCTCCTTTTCCTGCCATTGAAACCTTGAGTTCTCCCATGTTTGGCCCTTTTCCCTTACTCTGAACGTACTTCCTTACTCTAGCTTTCTGAACAACTCGAGAGTTCTGAGGCTGCTACTCTCAGTGCTCCCCAGTCCTTTCTTACTCCCCTTTTTAAGCTAACAGCATATTACCTTCACTCAAATTGGTTATTGTTTTTATTGGTTATTGTTTGAAGTAAGAGATGATCATAATTTATATTAAACAAGTTTTAAGTATAATCTGTGAAATATTTTGAATTGATATGTTTTGTACTTGAAACTTTCACAAATGTATTTTTAAAGTCATCTCATGAAAAAATAACCATAGGGATGGTTCATGATTTTACACATTTTTTGTGTTTTAATAATAGTACCAAATGGCTTTCTTTTCTCTATGAAGGTTTCACAAGAAGTATTGTAGCTGTATATAGTACTTGTATGCTGGTTGTTCTTTTGCGGGTCCAGTTAAACATAATCGGTGGATATATTTACCTGGATAATGCAGCAGTTGGCAAAAATGGCACCGTAAGTTTAGTAGACTTAGACATGCTTTTTCTTTCAAGGGGTTCAAAATTCAACTGCATATTCTTTATGCTGATAATTTATATAAAATAAGTATATTTGTATATCAGGTGATTGTAAACTTTTAGCATTATTTTTGAAACTTATTTTGTAACTTTAAAATTTTTGTATTAAAGAATATTTTTCCTATCATTTCAAATTCTAAAAATCTCAGCTCAAGTTGTACTGTAAATAATATTTATTTACTAATAATGGGTAATTTAAGCTTATTTCTATGTCATACAGACCGTTCTTGCTCCCCCAGATGTCCAACAGCAATATTTATCAAGTATTCAACACCTCCTTGGAGATGGTAAGATTCTTATTTTTGATTTGTATACTAATTTTAATTTGTTCACTTGTGCTGAGGAATTTAAAATGTGAACAAGGCTTTTATGTTTTTCCTTAACAGGCCTGACAGAATTGATCACTGTCATTAAACAAGCTGTGCAGAAGATTTTAGGAAGGTAGGCATTTTGCTTGGGCTTTTCTGACTTCCTCATTCTGATGAATGAAAGAAAAATTGGAATTGTTCTAGTAAAGCTGGTGACTTGACATGGTGGTGTATGAAATTCTTTGTAACCTAATACAGACACAGCTCTGGGGTGTTTGATTGTGTAATTCATTTTCTTCATTAGTGTCAACTTTTTGATACTAAGGGGAAAGTTTTAGTGATATTGTTTATTGATTGATTTCCAAATAAACTAGAAATAGTTGAGTTATAAGATAAAAGACCTTCTTTAAAATCTGCCTCTGAGGCTTTTATCTCCAATTTATACTAGTAATATCTGTAATTACAGTGGGAATTTTCTTGTGAAATCTGCAGCAGGATTTTTCTTGTCTTTGCATAATAATGACTCAAATGATGGCTGATTTCTTAATTTACCCTAGTGATTTTACAGTCAGCAGTTTCAGGTTTGATGGGATAAAACAACCTCAGATAGTAACCTGTTGGGAAAAGAGTGTGTGTAGGATGCATTGTATAGTTTCAATTTATCCCAAGTCCCTTTCCTCTCTTTCTAGTGTTTCACTTAAATATTCTTTGTCCCTTTTGGACTTGGAGCAAAAACTAAAAGAAATCAGAAATCTCATTGAGCAGCATAAATCTTCTTCTTGGATTAATAAAGATGGATCCAAATCTTTATTATGCCATTATATGATGCCAGATGAAGAAACTCCATTGGCAGTTCAGGTACTTAATACATAATCATTTAAATAAACTAGTTTACTTTATCTGTAAACTTTTTTTTCTATCTCTTAAAATTAAGATTTCTGAGTTTCTTGAAAGGGAAGTAATTAAAAGACATATTTCAATAACTTAGAACAAAACCTCATTACTTTAGAAAACAAACTGCAAATGTGACTGATTTGTAGTTAGAAACATTTATAATTTTAGATATTTAGCAAATTCTTATTGGTTATTAGGTATGTGACATATAAAATAGTAAGACCAGTTCATTACACTTGGGGAACTTAGAAAACCAATTCAGGTGACTAGAGGATTTTTGTATGATATCAAGTAGCAGAACACAGAGCTGAGAGTTGGGACGTGATTGTGAAGAGCTTTGTATGCCAATATAAAGAATCTGAACTTCAGTTTATAGACAAAGGTAAGTTTTAACAGGCCAGTATCACAATCACATTTGCTTTTTAAAATAAATCAATCGTGGCAACATCAAAATAGACTGAAGGAAGTTACAGTCATCCAGTTGAAAAACAAAGATGGCCTAATCTAACAATTATCAACTATGATGTTGCTACATACTGGTGTGTCCTGGGCAGTTGTGATTTATGTTATTCATTGATTAAGAGTAATAACCATGCCAAAGATTGTAGGTTATATACCTCACTTACAAATAATTACTGGTTTGCTCATATGTACTGGGTTACACCCATTCTTTGCAGTTGAAAGAAAATATCTCTCACTTGACAACTAGAGCAGCCTTAGGCGGGGAGGCCCCTATGCCATACCCTGTTAGAACAAAAAACTGCCATGTTTTTCATTACCTGCAGGTTACCCTCTCCTAGAGACCCTAAAGGTAGACCTTTTTTGGTGCTCAGTAACCCTACATTCATGAGCAGGCCAAAAAAGTATTGCACATATTGAAGATGGCTGTGCCCTACAGGATGGAGGCTAAACTGAACAACAGAACAGATGGGACAGAATTAATGAAAGAACAGGAGAAAACTTACTTGCAACTTAGTATCTCTAAGAAATGAAATAAGGGTATTAAAAAGCTTTCTGGAATGAAAACAGTTTCCAAAATTTAAAATTCAGTGGTGGAACTAAAGAAAGAAAATGATTTGAAAGAATATGACTCAAAAGAACAGATGAAAAAAAGATTGAGGGAATAAATCTTAACCTGAATGTAATTAAACCCTGAAACTTCAGATTGGAAAAAAAAACAGAGCCCCAAAATAGGCTAGATTTGATGAAAAAAGGCACGTATATATCCTGATAAAATGTCTTACCAATAAAAGAAAAAAAATCACAGACCTCTGCAGCCTCAAAGACTATTTTTTTCTTTGTAAATATATTCTAGAAATGTGTCCAAGAGGTCCCAGATACAAAAAGATCTTACAAAGTACAATTTTACTTACTACTTACCTATACACATGAACCTTTCCAGTTTTTTACTATTTAACATTTTTGGTTGTTGATAGAGTGCAGACTTTTAGATGTCATGAACTCTGGGTTTGTTAATATGATTAGTTTCATCACAACCCCGTGCTAATATTTGAAAGCCTGAAGTATGACATTTTAATTTCACAGGCCTGTGGGCTTTCTCCTAGAGATGTTACCACTATTAAACTACTCAATGAAACTAGAGACATGTTGGAAAGGTATGTATACTGTATGTAACAGAAAACCTGTGTCTCTATTTTGGTTGTACTTATGACCATTTTTTAGTTTTTCTTGAACAGCATATTCAATATAATATTTTGTTAAAATTAAATTCTGAATCTACTCCCCGCCTTTAGGTAGGATTTCCCATGCCTTGCTCACCTACTTCCCAGGCCTGAGATTCTGATATACTAGTCGAGGGACTGGAAGATAGTTAAGCATTTATATCTTGAGAAAAGTTTTCAAGGGTGACTTTGATATACCCAGTATATATTAGTAAATATTTTAAAAACTACCTCTGTTTAAAAAAAAAAAAACCTGAAACTGAAATTGTAGCCACAGCAGTTCTGAATATCAAGTTGAAGTCCCTCAGTGCTGACTTGGGGAGTTGAGAAGAGATGGTCTTATGAGCCGGAGCCAGCCATCTCAGGCTAATCCTCATGTATATGCACATATGCACACATGCTAATGTACACACACACTCAATTTTGAGAGCTACTAACCCTTTCAGAATAGACTATAGTGTTCCTAAAACTTCGAATGATAAAAATTTCACATATTCCACAAATTGAGATTACTATTTTAAATAACCCAGACAGCCAGAGTGTTCAAAATGGAAAAAGCACCAGACTCTGTATTAGAAAACTAGAAGACCTAGATTCAAGGTTGGCTCTGCTATTCATTAACTGTTCAGCCTTAGCTGAGCCACTTAAACTCCTTGAGGCAGTTTTATCAGTGTAAAATCTGAGTCGTTACACCAGTCCTGCCCACCTGCTCTTAAGTGATTAAAATATTGAAGTTTCTTTTAAATTCAAGATGGTGTAAGACCATTTTATCTAGTTCTATTTTCTGAGGAAATTATATCTTCTGCTTATAATATTTTTTTATGGTCTTGAAGAAATCAGCAAATTGTTAGGTTAAGTCAACTACTGAAATCTGAGTCCATCAAGTTCTCATCCCTTGCTTTCCCGTAGTAGTGACCTCCACTTTTTGTTATTCAGGTTTCCACCAGGTCACTCCACAAAGCTCTAGAAAAGGTCATCTGTGATCTCTTGCCAAATCCAGGGCACCTGTGATGTTCATCTTACCTTTCTGATAATTGACACCATTGATCAAGGCTTTCTTGAAATTCTTTTCTAATATGGCTCCCATTTAATTTCCTAACTTTTCTCCCAGTTTTCAGATAATTTCTTCTTAGGTTTCTCTATGTCTGTCTTTCCTTTAAACAGTTATTTATTCTTTTTTCATCCTCAACTGCCCCAAGCATTCTTATGCAATTCCATTGCTTCAGCTACTCTCTGTGTGCTAGTAGTTCCCAAGTTTATAACCCTAGCTCTCCAATCCCATAAATCAGTCTGGGTTGAGATTTATATATGTCAAGGCTAGAACTAATATGTTCAACTAGGCATTTTCTAACTTTCATAGCACACATATACTATCTTTATATCAAAGAGTTTCTGTGAGGTACTAATATGGTATAACAAAGAGTTTGAACTTTAAGATTAGAAAGGCCTGGGTTCAAATTTTGACTCTTTCATTTACCTATTTCATATTTTTGACAAATTCCTTCAAACCTCAGTTATCCAGTTCCTCACCTGTACATGACAAGTAAAATACAGTTTTCTCTCTCACTGGGATGTCATGACAGAGTATGTAAGCAATACAGTCTGTGACCATAAGAGGATTCCTCAAGAGTTTCCTCAAGAGAAGTAATACAATTATTCATATTTTAAAAAATACATTGTACAAAGTGCTAACTAATGTAAGTGGATGTATATTCTCATTGTGTTGTGCTAAACTCACTTGTTATGCTTAATTTTTAAAGACTGACTTCTTGATATATTTTTATAATGTTTTAGACTATAAAAACTAGATTGTGACTAGAAATGTTGGTGGCTATCAAAGGTAACCACATATTTATTAAATTTATTTCCTTTTCTTTTGAGAATCTAAAAAGTAACTTATACTTCTCATTTTGTGTAGTCCAGATTTCAGTACAGTTTTGAATACCTGTTTAAACCGAGGTTTTAGTAGACTGCTAGACAACATGGCTGAGTTCTTTCGACCTACAGAACAGGACTTGCAATGTGGTAACTCTATGAATAGGTAAGATGACATGTAAAAATGTTATCTATCTAATGAACACTCTAATAAATTAGTGTTTTGTATTTGTTTATCTTTTGTTCCAGGTAACAAAAAAAGTTAGTGAATAAATTTGATTATTCATTTTTCAAAAAATAAACTGTTAAACCAATGACTCCTTCACTAGTTGAAGCTCCTTCTGGATTCAAACTTAAAAATTTCATTTCTTCCAAAAATGTTGCCACTATATAGAAGTACTTAACTTGTGACAGCTACATATAGCCCAAATTCCAATTATTGGGGTTTTTTTAAATGCGTTATAATACAAAACTGTGAATATATTTAAGATTTAATGTGTTCTCTATTATCATTCCAGTACTGCAAGCCATAATTGATCTACATAATTCAGTACTTTAGCCGTTATAATAACCAGTCATTCATATAGATTCCCATTTGATGGATTATCTCCTACAACTGTATAAAAGTATTGATATTCAGCCCATATTGTAGGATTGGAAATATTTAGTTAGTATAATTGTTACTAATCATGAGCGTTTATGGATCTTTTAAGAACCTCTATTTCACAGCATTTTAAATCAAATCTAAAATAATAGGTACTAAATCAATGTTAACTGACTATAAAATTACCCATTAAAATTAGGGGAAATAGTAACTGAGATACTGTAAAGAAGTGCAATATCCAATTTAATTCTTAAACATAGGGCAAAAGATTATTTGCCCAATTCTCTGGGGCCCTTCTTTATGCAAAAAAGAATAATTTGCAGTTAACATTGGGGATTTGGAATGCTTAAGCCCATAAAATTTATTCTCTGAAGCAATTTAAATAGCATCCTAAAATCTTTTTTAGAAATTCTTTAAATTATACAAATATAAAATTTCAGTGTAATCTCTACCTAGCAAAGTATTAGGTATTTCATGAGTGGTAACAAAAATTTATAATAGTTTAACATGAACAAATGCTTGCTCTTAACACCCTTAAGAATTATAAAAAGTACATTACAGTCACATCAATTGCTGATAGTCTTCCTTTTATGAACTCCTGTAGTACTCATTACCTATACTTCCATGTACATCCTACATGTTTTACCTTGAACTAGATTCTTATTCCTTAGGTACATTGTAAGCCACCTCTCAAAATCAGAGACTCTCTCACGCCTTTTGGTATTTCATTACACACGCTAGGCATTCAGTAGATAGTTCCAGTCTAAATTTTTCTCTTTCATGTCAATAACCAACTTCATACCCCATGATGCAATATACTAGAAACATTCCCACTAAGCCTATAGTCATTCCTCTTGTTTAACATCTGAAATTTCTAGTCACCACAATAAATTTAAAAAAAAACTTTTACTATTGTCAGAGACAAAATCTCATTATATGTACTACAGTTAATAATTTAGAACCCTCAAATCAACTGAAAAGTGATGCAAACTAACAAAAGTTCAAATTATGTATTTTTTATATATATGTATATATTTATGTACTATATAGATAATACACAAATAACATGTATGTGTTAAAATAGATGTAATAAATATTTAAAAATCAAAAGCTTTCTTATCACCATAATAACCCAATAGAATACAAACTTAAAGCATGAATATAGACATAAGAGTCCTAAATAAAATATACCAAAATGAAGTCCAGAAATATATAGCAGCAATAGTATTAACTGTACTTACTTTTTCCTTATCCAAGTGGAAGGACAGGTATTTTTCAGAACATTATCTTATGGAATTCTAAGACAACCCTAGGAAGTAAGAACTAGTATTTTCCTCTTTTCACAGGTGAGGAAACTAAGAGAAAAACTAAATAATTTATGGTCAAACAACTAATAAGTAGTAAACCCAAATACCACTCTTTCTGTCTCACATTAGAGCCTAGAATTTTTAGTTATTCTCCAGCACTGTAATTAATTATGGTGTATTTTAAGAATGCAAGGAGGGTTGAAACATTAAGAAAGCTGTTATAGTAATCCATAACATTAATAGGTTATTAGGACAAAAAACAAACATCCATCTTCAGTGTTGCTGAAAAGGCATTCAGTAAAACTAATTATTATTGATAAAACATCTAGAAATAAAAATGTTTTATACTGTTAAAAGAATATTTGACATCAAAAGCAAGTATTATCATACTTTATAGTAAATACTAAAATTATTTCCATTAAATTCAAAAACAATATAAAGACGGTCACTCCTGACATACTTACTCAGCATCATTATCATTGTAACCAGTGCAGTAAGGCTAGGAAATGACCAATTTTGAGAACCAAATTCAGGAACACCACTGATTTTTACATATTTACTTGCAAATAGAAAACTTGCTGAACATGTATTAATATATAATAAACTGTTAGTTAACTCTTGATTTTATAAGTTAAATTCTTCAGAAAATGATTATCAGTTTTGGAAAAGGAGAAAAATTATCATTATGTGAAGGTAATAAGGTTTTATACTTAGAAGCAATAGACGAATCAACTGACTATAAAGTTAGCCTTCCAGAATTCATTTATGAATGTAGTCAAAGTACCATCAAAATCCCATATGGGATTAGAGGGTGGTTACTTTTATATTTTTGAAACTGAAAATTTAATACTGAAGGTAATCAGGAGGAATAAAGGACTGAGAATATTCAAGAATTTATTTAAAAAGTAGAGCAATGAATGTACTTTCCCTATGGAATATATAGGGTGCAGTTATTTGTACAATATGTTACTCATAAAACAGATAAATCAGTGGAATAGGATATAAAATCCAGAAACAGGTTCTAAAATATACAGGATATTAGCATATGGTGAAAGGGAGGAAGAGAGATATAACATATATAAGTGTTGATAAGACAGTCATTTTACAATGAACTATTATAAAAATAATAAGTTAAAGTCCTTTAATACCATACATGTAGCAAAAACAATCCAGGAGGTTTAAACAGTAAAAACTAAAGTAAATGAACTGGTAGAAAACAGGTAAATATTTGTCTGATCTCAGGATGAAGAAAGTCTTTCTAAGTAAAGAATTTTATATAAGGAAATGATAGGTTTGATCTAAAACTTAAAACTTACAGATCAAATAACTTTATTAGCTTTATAATCAATATTAAATGCAAATAATATGTTGGGGAAATGTTTGCAAAACATATATGTCATACAGAGAGGTTAGTAGTATTTTATACACATCAGTTAAGGAAGGAAACACCCAAAGAAAGAAATGTTCATAAACACAAAGAGATAATTCATAGAAATTGCCAATTTGTCCATTTGTCCAACATCTATTGGTATCAGGAACTGTACTAGGTCTGTGTCCTCATGGATCTTACAACCTAGAAGGAGAAATAGACAATAAACATAATTGTAAAAACTATGTTAAGTATTATAAAAGAAAAGAATATATAATAGAAGTATTTGAACAAATGTGGAAAGTCAAACAGAATTCCCTGAGGAAACAATTTGAACTGCAATGTAAAAGAGGAGCAACTATTAGATATGTCCTTGGACAGGAATGGGGCAGTTGACATTCAGGACAGAAGCCACAAGGAAAAGACTGAAAATAGGAGGACCCAGCTATACTTGAGGTTCTGGAAGAAGGCTGCTGTGGTCCTGAAGAGAGAGAACTAGGGAAAAATGTGGTGAGATAAGTTGGAGAATTCAGGACATTCAGATTACAGTTATCAGCTTGAGCATGCTGTTGGGGCCACTAGAGAACTGTCCTGAGAGTGACATGGTATTTACACTGTAGGATCACTTTGATTGCTTTGCAAAGAAGGACTTGAGAAAGTGGAAGTTGGGGTGGGACACAGCAATGGATAAATGCAGGCTTTTATTAATTCATTCAACAAATATGTATAGAGCATACACTATGCACCAGGCACTTTACTAAGGCTGGGATAATATAGTAAGATAGACATGGTACCTAATCTCATAGACTTTGTATGGTAGCAGTAGCTTCAATTTCTATTGAAATTCTCTCTATATAAAGAGAGACATCAAACAAGTAAAAAAAAATGATGAATCTTAAAAAATGCTACAAAGTTATCATGAAAGAGAATAATGCCTGATTTCCTCAGTAATGCATAAATCTCCCACTTCCTTTTTTCTTTTTAGTATTGCCTCAAATTTCAGCATAACACACTGGTTAGATACTATGAAATTATGATTTCAGGATTTTTATGATATTTAAAAGGAAATTTCTAGTGTAGCCCTCGGCTTAAGCGGATAAAGTATTATATTGAATGTAATAAACTTAAGTCTATAACCCACACACAAAAATTAGTTTCATCACTTAACAGTCGTTCTATCATACATAATCACACATAATATGTACTCATTTTCTCAACAAATGTTTATTGAGCACTTAAAAGTTAGAAGGTCCAGTGCTGTAGTCCAGACAAGAGATAATGCTTAGCTTGGACTAGGTTTGGGAAGCGGGAGAAGTAGACACACCAAGAAAATATTTAAAATTGTGGAGGACAGGTGGGAGAAAGAAGTGCCAAGCATAATTACTCAGGTTTCGTGCTTACACTGCCAGATAGATAATGGTGCAGTTCATGAAGTAGGGGGAAGAAACAGTCAACATTGCTAGTAATTAAGAGAAATACAGACTAAAACCAAGATACCATTTTCAGCACTCAGACATAAAGATTTTTTTAAAAGATAATTTGACGCAGAAAGAAGGCTAATTATGGAACAGGTATCCTCACTGTTGGTGAAGCGGAGGGCATCTGGCAGTATACCTCATAAACTTTAAAACATTCATACTCATTGGCTCAGTAACTCCATGTTAATACGAAGAGTAATTTATGTTAAAGAAAATTAGACAAAAACTTAAGTGCCCAACTCCAGAGAGCCAGTGATACAATTATCATAGCTAAAAGATAGATTACTATATAATCATTTAAAGCAGACAGAAACTGGAAGAATATTTAATAAGATGGGGAAATGCTTATAAGATTAATAAAAATGCCAAACAGTATTGTTTCGGAGGTTATAGTTTTATAATAAAAAAACAGCATAGGTAATGTAAAAAATTACAATCTAACCATGATGTCAGTTACCAATTATAGTTATTTCTATAGAATTATGTTGATTTTTATTTTTTCCTTAATAAATATTTCTTTAAGTATTCTTCAAGGACCTTTATATTGCTTTTATAATTAAAATGTTAAATTTCTATAAGTTAGTTGAGAAAATAATTATTACTGTGATGATTTTTCAGTCTTTCCAGTGTCAGCCTGCCTTTAGCTAAGATAATTCCAATAATAAATGGACAGATCCATTCAGTTTGCAGTGAAACACCGAGTCATTTTGTTCAGGTAAGAAGAAAACTTGGGGTTATTATTAAAACCATTGTATTTGGGGTTATGGTCATGTTTGTCTGACATAAAATTACACTTTCCTCCTGTTATATTTGTTCAAAGAAACCAAAAACTTGAAGCCACATATAGAGTGTGGTAGGATGCCCCCAAGGAGTAAGGATGCCTCATGGCAAATTTACAAGGTTGAGAATATCTTTCTTGTGTTCTAGTCCAACAGCTGCTAGGTTAGACTGCATTTTAGTTCAGATATACTCTAGTAGTCAGTTGAATTTATAGTGCTAATGTTTTACATGAAGTTTTGCTAATAGTAAGATTGAGTCTGAGGACAAATGAATGTTCTGGTTCCTCAAATTTTGAGGGAAACAAAGATTTTTGTGAAGAAGTAAAGCATTTTAGTAATAAGTGTAATTACTAATAGTTCATCAATAATCTGCTCACTTAAAGTTGCATAGACAGTGAGTTATTAAATTTTGACTAGACTACCTTTAATTCCATGCTTTTTTAGGAAAGCATTTTGGATTGCATTAAGCAAGACTGATGTTACTACAAGAATAACTTTGAATCCACATAATTTTTTTTCTGGGTTATTTGCAAACTTGGAAACTCTCAGACATAAAAAATGACTTGCAGTGCACCTCAATTCCAAACTACTCCAGGAACAGGCAGTGAGAGAAGACCCTCAGCCTCAGGGTAAAGATGGCGTCTTCTCTCTATCATTTGTCTCAGGCTGGTTAGCAGCATATCTTTTGCGTACCTTCTACTCAGTAATGTGACGAGCACTGAGACTACTGGTTGCATTTGTTCCTTTCTCTGCATAGTGCCATTAGCTTCTCACTTACATGCTGCTTTTCCCTCACTGTGCCCTCAGTCTTCTGTGTCATCGTTCTCACCATGAGACATGGGCATCATATTGCAGGAGGAAGGGTGAATAAGGCTCATCTCATTTCACTTCATTTTAAGCTTAATTTAAGCTCAATATTTTTAAATTAAAACTTTACTTTGTTTTAAATTTGCAGTTAAATTTTAATTTTCACATGTACACCAGATGGAAAAAAACAGTTGTAACTTCTAGCACTTAAACCTTAACTTTACATTTCTCTTCTTTCATGTAAGTCTCTGGCTTCATCAGTAAGCTGTTCATCTTGACAGATTTTTCAATGGTAAATACAGCCAAATGTAATATACTACCACAGCTTTAATGCTTAAGTAGTTTACATACTACATTAATATCTGCATGACTGATAATGAAACAAAATGTTTCAATCTAGCAAAAACATCATTGATATTAGTGTTAAGAAAATATTTTTAGTGTGACTGAGTATAGATTAAATGTATATACTGCATTGATTGGCAAGATTTCCACCAGTCTTTTAAACTATAATTTCTATGAGTTAAAATACCAAGTGATCTTCAGAGACTGTAACCATGAATTTGTTGAGATCAAGACATACCTGTAGTTCAGCTGCCTCTTCCAATACTTAGAAATTACAAACGAAAAGACAGTTCACTTCCTGTTTCTCTGATGCTCACAGGGGCCAGTTAACTGATCCAGTGTTGTGGATCCTTTCACAACCTGCTGAAGCCTAGGGACCCCTTCTCAGAATAATGTCTAAATGCATACTGTAAAATACATAGGTTTTAAAGAAAACCAATTGTATAGTTTTCAAAATACTTTTTAAAATTAAACTTATGACATAGCAATCCTGCTTCTTTGTTCATGCATTAAAAACAGGATTTCATGGCAGTTCATATAAGTTCCACAACTATCACATGATACAAAAATTTCTGATTTCTACTGAAGACAAATTCACAAGCTTCTAATACTATCACAGTGTAGGGCCTAATTTCATAATTGAAGGAAATGCTGGATTTTAGTTAAAAGTTAATGAAAATAAAATGTAATTTTTTCCATATCTTTACATTCACAAACCCTTTAAGAACCTTTGTTCTAAAGTGTATGTGTGTGGTTTATGTATGTGTGTATATGTGACGTACTATGTATATCCTATGTTAGGTCTTCCAGAAAGTAATAGATCTTAAACACATAATGGCAGCTTCTAGCAAAAGGACCTCTGTCTAGACTTGTATCTTTAGTACTATAACCATTTATTCAACAAATACTTGTCTAGCACTTGACACAACAAAAAGTCCATTTGAAGACTATTTTGGGTCAACTCATAGTCACACTTAAATACTTACCATAGCCACCATCCCTCTTTGAAGAACCTCAACAATAAATGCCTCCTAGAATTTATTAAAAGAAAAAATACTCCTTTTATTAAATGCTTTTCTTTTGGGCTGTAACACCTCAAAACTTAGAGTTAAATTAATTGCATTGCTGATTGCAGGAAAGAATTCAAAGTTATCTACACTTTTACAAACTGTTATGTTTTATTGTTATCTTTGCTAGGATCTGTTGATGATGGAACAAGTGAAAGACTTTGCTGCTAATGTGTATGAAGCTTTTAGTACTCCTCAACAACTGGAGAAATGATACTTTTTATCCTTCAAGAAAAATTACAGTAGGATTCATTTACTTTTAAAAATACACTGAATAAATCCAACTATATATAGGGTAATGATTTGTTATCAAAATGCCTAATAAAAATATATTCTTAATCAAACTCTTCATTTCCCAATGAAATAAGAGTTATTTGGCATTTTAATATTTTTTTAAGTCATCAACACATTAGCTAATTTTGCAGGCATATATGAGTATACACAGTGCAAATATCAAAATTGTTAATAATTTGTAACACCATGGATATTAGTTCCAAACTGACTAAAATCTAATATAGATACATTTTTTTAATATAAGATGTAGTATACTTTGACATTAACACTGAGGAAGAATCTGGGAAATAGGTGTGAAATTTGGAAAATAATGTTATTCAATCAAAGTTAACAGGACTATAGTGTACAGGAGTGAATGAGACTTTTCTCCAGTTACTCTTCAAAGGAATAAATTATTTATTTTAAATTATCTGATGGAAGACTTCACTCATTATGGAAATAAGTGAATTTAGCAGCCATGATCAGCAGGTTTTTTTGTTACTATTCTTTAAAAGTTATTGATTTAGAGGCTAAAATTGTGTTGATGCTACTCACAGCTATTGTTAACTGCATAGTTTCATTTGTATATAAATAATTTTAATAACTTTGTATTGATTTTGAGCACAGTGAATATCTTATTGCAATAAAATATTTTGGTAAAATATGGTTTTGTTGAGTGAATACTTTACAGCCATTAATTTATTTGTCCCATAGCATTTTTGCTATTATTTGGGGAGAGGATGCTAGTTAAAAGTTTTGTTCAGAAAAAAATAAATAGTATTTCCTTGTGAAAAGATAAAATTCACTATTTCTAGTAAATCTATAGTTCAATATTTATACAGGCAATCAGTGAGGAAACATGAATCATTATGTATTACCAGTATATTAGATATATTTTCTGTAATATTAAGAAGAAAGTAAAATCATTCTCTGTTCCTCCAACATAACATTTAACCAAGTAGTAGAAGGTAGAAAATGACTGTGAAGTCTCTTCTAAGGCCAGGTTAGGCCCGAAGCCAGGTGCTAGAGAGTCTGTGTCTATCTGGCATATTTTAAAAAGAAAAAAAAAAAAAGATGTAGAGGTAGAGAGGAGGGCAAATGCTGCTTTTCAAAATTTGACAAAATAATTTTTTTTAATAGGATTTCAGAAAAACTACATTTTGAAAAATTAGTGAATGTGTGAATAATAGGGCATGCATCTCTTCAAGCAATATTAACCCAGGATTTCATGCAAGGAAAATTTGAGACTGAACAGGTGTGGCCTTGTAAGGACAGAAATCTGATCAGCTGAAAATTATCAAGTAGAATCATCTGCATCTGTAGAGTTGTGCAGTTGAAGAGATGACAAGGTAAAAACCACATTTATTTGAAGCTAATTGGCCTTAGCTATTACAAATTTGTCTTCTAATAATACATAAGGAGCCCTTTATGGTGAGATAAGTTGGAGAATTCAGGACATTCAGATTACAGTTATCAGCTTGAGCATGCTGTTGGGGCCACTAGAGAACTGTCCTGAGAGTGACATGGTATTTACACTGTAGGATCACTTTGATTGCTTTGCAAAGAAGGACTTGAGAAAGTGGAAGTTGGGGTGGGACACAGCAATGGATAAATGCAGGCTTTTATTAATTCATTCAACAAATATGTATAGAGCATACACTATGCACCAGGCACTTTACTAAGGCTGGGATAATATAGTAAGATAGACATGGTACCTAATCTCATAGACTTTGTATGGTAGCAGTAGCTTCAATTTCTATTGAAATTCTCTCTATATAAAGAGAGACATCAAACAAGTAAAAAAAAATGATGAATCTTAAAAAATGCTACAAAGTTATCATGAAAGAGAATAATGCCTGATTTCCTCAGTAATGCATAAATCTCCCACTTCCTTTTTTCTTTTTAGTATTGCCTCAAATTTCAGCATAACACACTGGTTAGATACTATGAAATTATGATTTCAGGATTTTCATGATATTTAAAAGGAAATTTCTAGTGTAGCCCTCGGCTTAAGCGGATAAAGTATTATATTGAATGTAATAAACTTAAGTCTATAACCCACACACAAAAATTAGTTTCATCACTTAACAGTCGTTCTATCATACATAATCACACATAATATGTACTCATTTTCTCAACAAATGTTTATTGAGCACTTAAAAGTTAGAAGGTCCAGTGCTGTAGTCCAGACAAGAGATAATGCTTAGCTTGGACTAGGTTTGGGAAGCGGGAGAAGTAGACACACCAAGAAAATATTTAAAATTGTGGAGGACAGGTGGGAGAAAGAAGTGCCAAGCATAATTACTCAGGTTTCGTGCTTACACTGCCAGATAGATAATGGTGCAGTTCATGAAGTAGGGGGAAGAAACAGTCAACATTGCTAGTAATTAAGAGAAATACAGACTAAAACCAAGATACCATTTTCAGCACTCAGACATAAAGATTTTTTTAAAAGATAATTTGACGCAGAAAGAAGGCTAATTATGGAACAGGTATCCTCACTGTTGGTGAAGCGGAGGGCATCTGGCAGTATACCTCATAAACTTTAAAACATTCATACTCATTGGCTCAGTAACTCCATGTTAATACGAAGAGTAATTTATGTTAAAGAAAATTAGACAAAAACTTAAGTGCCCAACTCCAGAGAGCCAGTGATACAATTATCATAGCTAAAAGATAGATTACTATATAATCATTTAAAGCAGACAGAAACTGGAAGAATATTTAATAAGATGGGGAAATGCTTATAAGATTAATAAAAATGCCAAACAGTATTGTTTCGGAGGTTATAGTTTTATAATAAAAAAACAGCATAGGTAATGTAAAAAATTACAATCTAACCATGATGTCAGTTACCAATTATAGTTATTTCTATAGAATTATGTTGATTTTTATTTTTTCCTTAATAAATATTTCTTTAAGTATTCTTCAAGGACCTTTATATTGCTTTTATAATTAAAATGTTAAATTTCTATAAGTTAGTTGAGAAAATAATTATTACTGTGATGATTTTTCAGTCTTTCCAGTGTCAGCCTGCCTTTAGCTAAGATAATTCCAATAATAAATGGACAGATCCATTCAGTTTGCAGTGAAACACCGAGTCATTTTGTTCAGGTAAGAAGAAAACTTGGGGTTATTATTAAAACCATTGTATTTGGGGTTATGGTCATGTTTGTCTGACATAAAATTACACTTTCCTCCTGTTATATTTGTTCAAAGAAACCAAAAACTTGAAGCCACATATAGAGTGTGGTAGGATGCCCCCAAGGAGTAAGGATGCCTCATGGCAAATTTACAAGGTTGAGAATATCTTTCTTGTGTTCTAGTCCAACAGCTGCTAGGTTAGACTGCATTTTAGTTCAGATATACTCTAGTAGTCAGTTGAATTTATAGTGCTAATGTTTTACATGAAGTTTTGCTAATAGTAAGATTGAGTCTGAGGACAAATGAATGTTCTGGTTCCTCAAATTTTGAGGGAAACAAAGATTTTTGTGAAGAAGTAAAGCATTTTAGTAATAAGTGTAATTACTAATAGTTCATCAATAATCTGCTCACTTAAAGTTGCATAGACAGTGAGTTATTAAATTTTGACTAGACTACCTTTAATTCCATGCTTTTTTAGGAAAGCATTTTGGATTGCATTAAGCAAGACTGATGTTACTACAAGAATAACTTTGAATCCACATAATTTTTTTTCTGGGTTATTTGCAAACTTGGAAACTCTCAGACATAAAAAATGACTTGCAGTGCACCTCAATTCCAAACTACTCCAGGAACAGGCAGTGAGAGAAGACCCTCAGCCTCAGGGTAAAGATGGCGTCTTCTCTCTATCATTTGTCTCAGGCTGGTTAGCAGCATATCTTTTGCGTACCTTCTACTCAGTAATGTGACGAGCACTGAGACTACTGGTTGCATTTGTTCCTTTCTCTGCATAGTGCCATTAGCTTCTCACTTACATGCTGCTTTTCCCTCACTGTGCCCTCAGTCTTCTGTGTCATCGTTCTCACCATGAGACATGGGCATCATATTGCAGGAGGAAGGGTGAATAAGGCTCATCTCATTTCACTTCATTTTAAGCTTAATTTAAGCTCAATATTTTTAAATTAAAACTTTACTTTGTTTTAAATTTGCAGTTAAATTTTAATTTTCACATGTACACCAGATGGAAAAAAACAGTTGTAACTTCTAGCACTTAAACCTTAACTTTACATTTCTCTTCTTTCATGTAAGTCTCTGGCTTCATCAGTAAGCTGTTCATCTTGACAGATTTTTCAATGGTAAATACAGCCAAATGTAATATACTACCACAGCTTTAATGCTTAAGTAGTTTACATACTACATTAATATCTGCATGACTGATAATGAAACAAAATGTTTCAATCTAGCAAAAACATCATTGATATTAGTGTTAAGAAAATATTTTTAGTGTGACTGAGTATAGATTAAATGTATATACTGCATTGATTGGCAAGATTTCCACCAGTCTTTTAAACTATAATTTCTATGAGTTAAAATACCAAGTGATCTTCAGAGACTGTAACCATGAATTTGTTGAGATCAAGACATACCTGTAGTTCAGCTGCCTCTTCCAATACTTAGAAATTACAAACGAAAAGACAGTTCACTTCCTGTTTCTCTGATGCTCACAGGGGCCAGTTAACTGATCCAGTGTTGTGGATCCTTTCACAACCTGCTGAAGCCTAGGGACCCCTTCTCAGAATAATGTCTAAATGCATACTGTAAAATACATAGGTTTTAAAGAAAACCAATTGTATAGTTTTCAAAATACTTTTTAAAATTAAACTTATGACATAGCAATCCTGCTTCTTTGTTCATGCATTAAAAACAGGATTTCATGGCAGTTCATATAAGTTCCACAACTATCACATGATACAAAAATTTCTGATTTCTACTGAAGACAAATTCACAAGCTTCTAATACTATCACAGTGTAGGGCCTAATTTCATAATTGAAGGAAATGCTGGATTTTAGTTAAAAGTTAATGAAAATAAAATGTAATTTTTTCCATATCTTTACATTCACAAACCCTTTAAGAACCTTTGTTCTAAAGTGTATGTGTGTGGTTTATGTATGTGTGTATATGTGACGTACTATGTATATCCTATGTTAGGTCTTCCAGAAAGTAATAGATCTTAAACACATAATGGCAGCTTCTAGCAAAAGGACCTCTGTCTAGACTTGTATCTTTAGTACTATAACCATTTATTCAACAAATACTTGTCTAGCACTTGACACAACAAAAAGTCCATTTGAAGACTATTTTGGGTCAACTCATAGTCACACTTAAATACTTACCATAGCCACCATCCCTCTTTGAAGAACCTCAACAATAAATGCCTCCTAGAATTTATTAAAAGAAAAAATACTCCTTTTATTAAATGCTTTTCTTTTGGGCTGTAACACCTCAAAACTTAGAGTTAAATTAATTGCATTGCTGATTGCAGGAAAGAATTCAAAGTTATCTACACTTTTACAAACTGTTATGTTTTATTGTTATCTTTGCTAGGATCTGTTGATGATGGAACAAGTGAAAGACTTTGCTGCTAATGTGTATGAAGCTTTTAGTACTCCTCAACAACTGGAGAAATGATACTTTTTATCCTTCAAGAAAAATTACAGTAGGATTCATTTACTTTTAAAAATACACTGAATAAATCCAACTATATATAGGGTAATGATTTGTTATCAAAATGCCTAATAAAAATATATTCTTAATCAAACTCTTCATTTCCCAATGAAATAAGAGTTATTTGGCATTTTAATATTTTTTTAAGTCATCAACACATTAGCTAATTTTGCAGGCATATATGAGTATACACAGTGCAAATATCAAAATTGTTAATAATTTGTAACACCATGGATATTAGTTCCAAACTGACTAAAATCTAATATAGATACATTTTTTTAATATAAGATGTAGTATACTTTGACATTAACACTGAGGAAGAATCTGGGAAATAGGTGTGAAATTTGGAAAATAATGTTATTCAATCAAAGTTAACAGGACTATAGTGTACAGGAGTGAATGAGACTTTTCTCCAGTTACTCTTCAAAGGAATAAATTATTTATTTTAAATTATCTGATGGAAGACTTCACTCATTATGGAAATAAGTGAATTTAGCAGCCATGATCAGCAGGTTTTTTTGTTACTATTCTTTAAAAGTTATTGATTTAGAGGCTAAAATTGTGTTGATGCTACTCACAGCTATTGTTAACTGCATAGTTTCATTTGTATATAAATAATTTTAATAACTTTGTATTGATTTTGAGCACAGTGAATATCTTATTGCAATAAAATATTTTGGTAAAATATGGTTTTGTTGAGTGAATACTTTACAGCCATTAATTTATTTGTCCCATAGCATTTTTGCTATTATTTGGGGAGAGGATGCTAGTTAAAAGTTTTGTTCAGAAAAAAATAAATAGTATTTCCTTGTGAAAAGATAAAATTCACTATTTCTAGTAAATCTATAGTTCAATATTTATACAGGCAATCAGTGAGGAAACATGAATCATTATGTATTACCAGTATATTAGATATATTTTCTGTAATATTAAGAAGAAAGTAAAATCATTCTCTGTTCCTCCAACATAACATTTAACCAAGTAGTAGAAGGTAGAAAATGACTGTGAAGTCTCTTATAAGGCCAGGTTAGGCCCGAAGCCAGGTGCTAGAGAGTCTGTGTCTATCTGGCATATTTTAAAAAGAAAAAAAAAAAAAGATGTAGAGGTAGAGAGGAGGGCAAATGCTGCTTTTCAAAATTTGACAAAATAATTTTTTTTAATAGGATTTCAGAAAAACTACATTTTGAAAAATTAGTGAATGTGTGAATAATAGGGCATGCATCTCTTCAAGCAATATTAACCCAGGATTTCATGCAAGGAAAATTTGAGACTGAACAGGTGTGGCCTTGTAAGGACAGAAATCTGATCAGCTGAAAATTATCAAGTAGAATCATCTGCATCTGTAGAGTTGTGCAGTTGAAGAGATGACAAGGTAAAAACCACATTTATTTGAAGCTAATTGGCCTTAGCCATTACAAATTTGTCTTCTAATAATACATAAGGAGCCCTTTTGTCTGGAACCCTTAGTTGTTTGGTGTCTTACCAATGCCCCAGGCAAGTTCACTATGGATTCAGTGAGACCAAAAAATGACAATGGAATGTTCTTGGGGTGAAAGGGTTTTTGCCCAACTTTATTTCCACGGTGGCAGGTCAATCACTAGACTCCTGTCCACTTAGAGCCAGTCTGCATGCAGCAAGCCGGTCTCTGCCTCTGGGCCTCTCTGCCCCCGCAGCTGTCTCAGTCTCTGTCCTCAGCACTGCCACCACTCCAGCCTATGCTCTCCTGCAGCCATGAGGCCTTCCCACCATGTCACGTGGAGCTCTTTACATAGAATCAATAGCAACGTATTGCCTACATGTGTAGTGAGCTAGCTGACCAGGGCCACGTAACAATCCTGGCCATAGGAACCTTCACTTTATCCACATTTGGTTAACCCAAAAAGTCATTTAAAGCAGGGTATCTTTTTTTTTTTAATGGCATATGTGTTCTTCGATATTTCAACATAAAATATAAATATGCTTTATTTGCCCATTATTTACTATAGGATCCAGGCCTTTTCTACCTGAATTTTCAGCATAGATTGGTTTTTAGGTGTTCTAATTGCCTTTATTCTACAAATCACATGCATTACATTACATAGTCATGAACCAGGGATACAGAATTATAGATTTTCACTATATTTCCCCCCAATCTTTTAGAACTGTTTTGCCCACAATTAACCTTAATCTTTTTAAGCAACACATTTTTATCTACCTTTCCAAAGTATTACACTTGATTTTCACAGAAACTTCAACTCTTCATGCTCATGCCATCAATCTATGTAGTCATGATACAAAGTTCAAATGGTAAAATCAGTGTTGTAACTTTGTTTCATAGAGCTTCCATAACAAATTACCACTAACTGGGTGGCTTAAAACAACAGAAATTTACTCTCTCACCTTTTTGGCCCTTAGAGGTCCAAAACCAAGGTGTTATTAGGGCCCTGCTCCCTCGGAAGGCTCTGGGGAAGCATCTCTCCAATTCTTCCTTGACTCTTCCAGCTTCTGGTGGCCCCAGGTGTTCCTTGGATTGTAATAGCCTAACTCCAAGGTCTGCCTCTGTCTTCACGTGGTCTTTTATTCTGTGTCTGTGGGTTTTTCCTCAGAATGAGCTCATTTAGGTCCCTCTCACATTCAGTATGATCGTAATACCTTAATTACATCTGCAAAGACACTAATTACACTATTTCCAAGTAAGATCACGTCCTGAGCTTCCAAGTGGCCATGAATTATTGGGGAATGCTATTCAACCCAGTACAGTAACACACTCAACTAACCCTTGATACACATACATTGCAGCAAGGAGAAATCAAAGTGAAGGGTATGCTAGAGAGAAGCCTACGAGCCTGCAGCTTAACCCTAGCATCAGTCAGCATGCTTTTCCAAGGAATGGAGAGCATCAGTTAATCTAGTGAGTTGGTTAAATGGAGAGTACTTGAAAGCTACTTTTTTTTCCTTCAAACTTGTACAAGTGTGTTTGTTGTTATGTATATATATAAAAATTAATCTGAGCATTTATTTGTTTGGAATTTAGGAAGACTTTTAGCTAACCAAGTCTTTTACTTAAAAATTTGAAGTGAACTAAAGGCAAAACATGTCTTGGTCATATTTGAGAGCCTGACCTTTTAAAATAACTGTTAGTTCAATACAGCATTCATAAGAATATGAGATAAAATCTTTAAAGTGATATTCATATTTAAAATGATGCCAGTGTCTAGCTATTCTCTAATAATCTAGTTTGGCTTGCCTTTGATATGTCTCTAGTCATTAAAGAAAAGTCAGAGTTACTAAATTCAAGTAAGGCAATTTCTTTTTTATACTGAAGTGCTTTATTGATGTATTTTTACTGAGAATGAAATACAATCCTGTATTATTAAAATTTTGCCACTTAATAGTAAATCTTTGAGATGACAATATTTAATAGGAGTTGGGTGTTTTTTCCATTTTATTTCTAACTTTCTTCACTTTTTCTAGGTGATACTTAATTTCTACTATTTCCTTTTTTGTAATGCATGCCTATTTCTTACCTCCATTCCTTTTTTATATTGTAGTACCATATCTCCACTTTTTTATTCCATAGAGCATGCATGATTAGCATTTTTGAAGAAATTCAGATGGCCAACAGGCACATGAAAAGATGCTTCACATTGCTAATCATCAGAGAAATGCAAATTAAAACCACAATGAGATATCACCTCACACCAGTTAGGACGGCCAACATCCAAAAGACAAACAACAACAAATGTTGGCGAGGCTGTGGAGAAAGGGGAACCCTCCTACACTGCTGGTGGGAATGTAAATTAGTTCAACCATTATGGAAAGCAGTATGAAGGTTCCTCAAAAAACTCAAAATAGAAATATCATTTCACCCAGGAATTCCACTCCTAGGAATTTACCCTAAGAATGCAGGAGCCCAGTTTGAAAAAGACATATGCCCCCCTATGTTTATTGCAGCACTATTTACAATAGCCAAGAAATGGAAGCAACCTAAGTGTCCATCAGTAGATGAATGGATAAAGAAGAGTTGGTACATATACACAATGGAATATTATTCAGCCATAAGAAGAAAACAAATCCTACCATTTGCAACAACATGGATGGAGCTAGAGGGTATTATCCTCAGTGAAATAAGTCAAGTAAGGCAATTTTATACTTATTAGTAACTCTTGGGGAAAGGAAATTAATTTACTGGCTTAAAAATAGGAAATGAGAGATCTGATTTTTAATTATCATACTATGATTCTTGCCCTCCAGACAACAGATAATTCTAAGAACTTGCTGGAATATTTTTAAATCCTTGTTAGGGGACCCAATTGTAGTATATTTCACATGTGAGCAAGATAAGCCTTAAAAAATTAAAATTTGGAGTCTCATACTTCTTCATCTGCCTGGTTATTAAGCATTTTATCAGCATCTCTGAATGCTGAGCTGTATTTTTGTCATTTAGCTTCCTTATAGCTACTCGTTAACTAACCCCTATATCTAATTTGCTTAAATATTTCCATTTTTCCTCTTTATTTCAATTTGTAAAGATAAAGATGGAGGGGGTAGGAATTTAAGCAGTTGACAGATTTTAGTCTCAAAAATATTTTCAAAGAGATGACCCTACTTTTATGTTCAGATTTCTGTAACTTTATTTCAGTTTCTTTGGGATTTCTTCCCTTTTTTTTTTTTTGCATCTAGTGTTCGGGATCATGTAAATCTGTCCACTTGGGATCTCTAATAAAAGGTTAATTGGGGTTTAGAACTATTAAAGTAGTTATTCATGTAAATACTTCGGCATGGTTTAAAAAATTTAATGATTATGAGAACTTCAACACTGAGTAATTTTTTTTAAGTTTTTCAACTTCAACAACAGAGAATATAACCAATAATACTGTGTTTTTTTAGTATGGCAACATGGGGAACTGCACTTACCATGGCAAGCATCTAGAAATGTATATAATTACTGATTCAGTATGTTGTACATCTGAAACCAATATTGTATATCAACTTTATGCCAATACAAAAAGAAACTATTATAATAATTAAAATTTTTCAACTTTAGCATGATTTTAGGAAATAAATATGAAGTGTTTTATTTTACTCTGAAGCATCTTTTGGAAACAGAGATATCTGCATTTGACTGTGACAAAATGGAACCTGCAGCACTTAAAGATGCCAGATTGTTGAGTGGAGTGAGTTCTTCAGTGTTTCTTTAAATTTCCACAAAAATAATCATTGTTTTATCTTCATTATTTAGCTTCATTCTTAGGGAAGATCTAAATAGACTTCCTAACTTTCCACTAGGTTTTCAAATTTAATTTGCTTGAAGGTAAACTATAGGGAGCAAATTTATTTATGTAAATTAGACCTCAAATTAGCCTACCTACAAAAAAAGGCCCACACCTTCAATCCCACACCTCTCCCACCCCCTCAAAAACCCCATGGAAAAATATATACTAGAATATTAATAGTGATGATCTGAACAGTGATTTTTACCTTTGAGAACTTCTGTATGTTTTAAAATATCTACAGTGAACATATCTCAGTTTTATTGTCAAGAGGGAAAAAAGGCAATTTTAAAAAATAAAAGGACAACCACTGTAGGCAATGAAAATATATATTAGGGCAAATTTATTATGTACCTACTACTTGTGTCAGTGTGCTAGGGCTGCCGTAACAAAATAGCACAGACTGAGTGGCTTAAACAACAGTAATTTATTTTCTCGCAGTTCTGAAAGCTGAGAGCCTAAGATGTGGGCAGCTTTGGTTTCGCCTGAGCCCTCTCCTCACCCTGCAGGTGGCCTGCCTTCTCCCGGTGTCCCTCTGTGTCATCCTCTCTGTGTTCACATCCGTGGTGTTTCTCCTAAGGACACCAGTCATGTGGGATTTGGGTCCCTCCCTTCATGACTTCATTTAACCTTAGTTACTGCTTGAAAGGCTCTCTCCCCAAATAAAGTCACATTGGTGATCAGGACTTTGGCAGGAAACACGATACAGTCCTTGACACCACCAATTCCAAGCTACTCCAAAACAAAAATTTCTACCTCTGAATCACACATGGAAATAAATTCAGTGTGAAGAGACTTAAATAGCAGAGTGTACCCCATGGGGAGTTAACACAGTTACATGGGTAATTTAGGAAAAAATTTAGGGTTAAGGGAAAAAGGGCTGAATTGTCTAAATAATTACTTGACTTTTCTTGGCCAATTTCATATTTGCTTTCTCCATGTGCTACAATTATAGAAACCTGATATTTTCTAGTCTTAGATACAACTGCACCATGAACTGTGCTGTAAATCAGATCACATTAGTTAGTGCTAGCACCCAGCCCCAGTCACAGGGCATCTGATGAGGGGTTAGATGTGGCAGTTCTACTGTAAGGCCATGTTGCTTCAAAGATGTCCAGTTAAGTGGCTGTCCATGTCCCAGTAGTTCAACCTGAAATTAAAAACATACACACAAATGTCTCCAAATGTATCTCTTTGGCTCACCCACTTTATTGGGAAGGAGTGTTTGATATGTCTTAAAAATCACCATAGACAGGAGATTCTTTTATTTCTTATTTAGTGGTTCACAGGATCTTTGAACCCTTGGTCCAGATGAGTGAATACATCTGTCCTGCTCCTGTATTATTACTCTCAAATAAAAGTGTGCAGGAGCTAAGGAAGAAAAATTATAACAGTTGAACAGTGTATCAGGGTAGGGAAAATGGCTCTGGAGTCAATCTGCCCAACATAAGACCTGCCCAGATCTTACATAGAATGTTTAGAGAAAGGTTACCCTCCTTTGTCCAGTCACCCTTCCTCCCCAGATTTTCCAAAATCCCCACTAATCAACAATACATATCTGTGATTAACTATTATTATAATTGTTCTATATCCTTAGTCTTATACTAAGTGAATGTAAATAAGTAATTTTCTATGTATGTACGGTTATGTTGAACCAGAAAACTTTGTCATGTAGAGCAACACAAAACAAAACCCATGGACTTTTGAATAGCAGTAGTATTGGGGGCCAGAGAGAACATAGATAAAACAAAACAATAAAGTCATACCCAGGCCACTAAGCTGTAACTAAACATCAGATTCAAACTCTGTCTTCTGCCTGATCAACCACAAGTATTAGAAATGAAATACAGATTAATGATGCAAGGAGAAGCTTATGGACAATTTACCATCAAGGAAATTGTCAATTTCTTAAAAATAAGCTATAAATTATATCAAAATGAGCCCAATGTCAGACCTGATGATTACAACCATTAAATTAACCTTTCACTTTCTCCAATTTTTTTTATGGACTTAAAATAGTAGGGCCAAGTCATCTTACTTCTATTCAGTGCTCTGAGGTGAAATGTTAGGGGAAGAATTTGAATTCCAGTTTTACGGAAAGAATCATTTTGGATATGTGCAGTGAACTTTGAACAGCATAGTGTGACTATGAAGAAAGATGTCTATTTCACATTCATATGCTCGGAGATAGCAGATATGGGTGAAAGGAAAAATTTTCAAAGAGTTTGGCCAAACATTGCCATTGATGAAGCTCATTTTAAAGCTATAGGTATCTCTACTTTGGCAAGTTCACGTTACACCACCTTATTTTTACAAAAGATCTACATTAATCCTGGTTTTTGCTAATGGAAAGAAATCTGAAGAGGACTTTCACTTTCATGAAAATAGTGTTCAGCGCTTGCTCTGCAGTGAGCTCTTACAGAGGCACCACCAGGCAAGCGCCTTCCCCAGAAACTACACCCTGCACCCCAGCATCAAACCCCTCCCACCCCCCCGCAGTGAATTATGTCTTTGAGTGTCTGTGCTTTATCTCAATGTATTCTGTGCATCGTTAGCAAGATGTGTCCCAAGGTATCAAACAAGCCTAAGAGAGGTTATTTTTGGAGTCCAGGAAGGCTCAAGATTTTTGTTCCATCTTAATTAATGGTAATTGCTTCTTTGCTTTAGAACATTTGACTAATGAAGGTTTCATAGGAATGCTCTACTTTCAGATAACAGATACAGAAGGAAACCTGTATGAAGGAACACATATAAGGCTCTTCTTGAAGTTAAAAGTTGTATTATGCTTTCATTAGGATATTCTAGTTAACAATAGTAAAGGAACAATAAGGATAAAAGTCCCTCTTACCTCTGTTGCCCCCATGGTAGCTGTGGGTTGGCCAAGAAACAGCTGTCCTGATACGGGCCATTTGAGAAACGTTGCATACACCAATTTTTTTTGAGGTTTGGATGTATACCTGGTTAAAAAGGGGAAAAAGCATAGTAGTATTTCTCATTATTTATGGATTAGGTCTGGAAATATTTTAGAGATACTTTGATTTAGTAAATATTTACCAATGTCTTCATTAGTAGAGGGAAGGAGAAATAGCCCTGTGGTAGCATAAGAAGCACCCAAAAGGGTTCTGATCCCAATACCAGTGTATGTGTGCAGGTGGTGGGGGTTCCCCAAATACCCAGCTGGTGTCCAATTCTCCAGACACCAGCTGGTGTCTCACAATTCAACTCAATTTTGACACTATCTACCAGAGATAGTGTTAGATTCCACAGGGTAAGGGCTCAGTCTTACAAGACTGCTGCCCCACCAACAACAGTCACCAAATCCCAAGTTCCAGGTCATCACCCAGTCTTCTGACCTATGGGATATAGATCACAGGTTCCAATGACCCCCTCCTTGGGTTCAATGAATTTGCTAGACAGAAACATTTTACTTACTGGATTACTAGTTTATTAGAACAAGATGTAATTCAGGAACAACCAAATGGAAGAAATGCATAGGGCAAGGTATGGGGCAGGGGTGCAGAGCTTCCACGCCCTATCCAGGTGTCCACTGCCCCATCAAACTGGAAGCTCTCTGAACCCTGTCCTTTTGAGTTTTACTGGAGGCTTCATTATATATGTGATTAGATCATTGGCCAGTCACGACAGATTCAGTCTCCAGCCCCTGTCCTTTCCTGGAGGTCAGGGAGGGACTAAAAGTTCTACCCTCTAATCATGTGGTTGAGTCTCCTGGCAACCAATCCCCATCCTTTGGTGGGGTCCAAAAGTCACCTCATTAACATAAAGGACCCCTATATAGCTCTGATTGATTAGGAAAGTCCAGAGTTTTAGGAGCTCTGTGCCAGAAATGGGTATGAAGACCAAACATATATTTATTATAAATCACAATATCCCAGCACCTCCCTTCCCCATTGCCCCAGTGCTAGGAAGTTCTTGGAACAAAGATTTTTCTAGTATTACTCTTCATCAGACTGTACTTGTGGAACTGGAAATAGGAAGGGGAGTGTGAGTGAAGCATGTAAGATGCAAGAGTTAGAGGGCTTTCCACCTGCTGACTCAAATTTTCATATTACTTCAACAAATACGTGTCAGTGCTGGGCCAAGTACTGAGCTACGGGTTAGAGATACAATAGTACACAAAACACACTTAGTCTTGTTCTTACAGAGTTTAGATTAGAGTGAGGAAGACATAAAACAATCACACAAATAATATAAAAGCCTGAGTTTTGATAAGCACTATGAAAGAAAAGGAAACTGAAAGATTATAACAAAGGGATCTCTTTTAGATTAGACCATGGACAAGAAGCCCCTTCAAGAAAATGACAATTAAGCTGAGACTTAAAAATGAATGAGAGAGAAAAGCAAAAAGTAAGAAGAGTGAGCTCTAGGCAAAACAGAATCCACTCTTTTCACTCAATTATTCAACATTTATTGAAATCTTAAAGTGCTAAACACTGTTTAGCACCGGAGACATAGCACTGAACACAGCCTCTGTCTTCACAGAGCTTACATGGTAGTGGGAAAAATTAGAATGAGCAAATAAATATATGTCAGGTGATGATGAAGTGCCATGGAGAAAACTGAAGCCAGGTAAGAAGGACAGAGCAAGGTAGGATGAAAAGGAAGGATCTGGGTGTCATTTTAAATAGAATAGTCAGGAAGACCTTGAGGAAGCGGCTCTGAGAGACCTGAAGAATGTGGGGGAGAGCCCTGTGGGTGTCTGGAGGAAGAGAGAAGGCAAGCACAGCAGTTCCAGGGTAGGAGGTTGCTTGGCCTGTGCATAGAGAAGGGGCAGAGTGGCCGGAGAACCGAGGGGCACTGTGGCAGCTGGCAAGCCCAGGGTGGCAGCAAAGACCCAGGTTCTACAGGACCTGGAAGCCTCGGTAAGACCTGGCTTTCTCTCTAAGATGGGAAGCCCTTGAGGAATTTGAGTATGGGAGTGATATAACTGACTGACTTTTTAGAAGGTCTTGTAGCAGATAGCTAAAGGGGCAAGAATGCAAACAGTTAAGTCAAGAAGCTTATAATCCAGGGAGAGACAATGGAGACTAACAGGGTAAGGGCTGCCAGAGAAAGGATGGGAAGGAGTCAGATTCTAGATAGATCTCAAAGAATAAGACGATGATACCTGCTGACAGATTGGCTCTGAGATATAAAAGAAAGGGGACTTAAGGACTTGAAGATTTGAGGCCCGACAACCACCTAAAAGGATAAAGCTGCTATTAAGTAAGATGGCGAAGTCTGTGGGTGGAGCCAGTTTAGAGCAAAATACAAAAATTAGGACCTCATATTCGGACATAACACTTTTAACATGCTTAAACTTTCAAAAGGAGACACTGACAAGGAAACTGAATATATGAGTCTGGAGTTCAAGAAAAGAGGTCTGCACTGTAGATAGAGGTCATCATAGGGCATTTGAAGCTACAAAAATGGATGAGCTCACGTGGGGAATTAAGAAGAGAAGTCCAAGGACTAAGCTCAGGGCACTTCCAGGTCTAGTGGTTGGGAACTTGAAGTGGAACCAGCAAAGGATACTCAGAGGAGGAACCAGAAGACAAGGAGAGACAGCAACCAACTGAGGCAAATGCTGCCGTAAGCTCAGCAATCAGGCGCTGGGGACTGACCTGGATGTGGCTGGGAGCGGTTCCTGTGGACCTGGAGAGCAGCGACTTTACAGAGCATGGGGGTGACAGCTGACCAGAGTAGGCTCAAGAGAGCAAGTGGAGCAAGAAGCTGGAGATAAAAAGGGAAAACCATTGTCTCAACATGTTTTACTATAAAGGAAAAAAATGGGCAGGTGGCTGGAATCTAAGGTCAAAAGTACTTTTTTAGGGTGAAAGAAATAAGATTTGTATGCTGATTGGGAAGTATCTAATAAAGAGGGAAAATTGAAGATCCGGAATAAAAGGGGAGAACTGCTAGATCTTGAGTGGATCATTTGGGATAGGATTCAGACAAGGGTTAGCCTTAAAGCCAAAAGACATTATTTGATACTGTGTGTGTGTGAGAGAGTTTCTAGTCACATTTAGCTGCCCAGGGGAGGCATGGAATAAGTTGAGCTGAACTTAAAGCTGAGGTTTTAAAAATAGTCAAGTGATACGTCAGACGGAGAGAGGGTGTAGGCAAAGGAGAGATGGGCCACAGCATCTGACCTAGATAAGAAAGAAAACAAGACATTGTGAGGGCTGAGGGGCAGAGGTGAGTGGTAGGATCAAAGATGTTGTGATCGGTGGACTACAGACCCTTCTGGAAGCCGAAGGGCCATGGGGGGTGAGCTGAAACGCAAGAGGCGGTAGCTAGAGAGCAGAATGCTTCAAAGTGAAATCAGGAGAGGTGCAGTTACCGGTAACCCCGGATCTCAGGTCTGACCAGACGAGGGGATAGCAAAGGTGAGTGGATAAGAGCCCTTACAAGAGAGAGGTACAGAAACCAAGGGGCCAGCAAACATGTGTACAGATTTAAAATCACTAAGAATTAAGTTCAGAGTAGTTCTTGGGACACTGACAGTGAGCCAGGGCTAAAATCTCAAAGGATTTTAAGGATGGACCTGGGATCCTATAGATGCCCACAAAGCGGTGACGCACATGTAAGGAACCTGAGGTAGGGAAGAGCTCCTACACTGAGAAGGGGTGAGCAGGGCTGCATGGGGTTGGTGCAGCTGGTGGGGGCCAGATGCGGGGCTTTAAAGTCCCTGTTAAATATTCTGGCTTTTATCGTTGTTCATAGAGATGAAATCTAGTGGACTAACAGTTAATGATTGTGAAGTCCCAGATCAGACAACCTCGCAACCAAATACAAGCACAGAAGCAAATTCCAAACTCAGATCTAAACTAGTCTCTGCGAAATGAAGGACTGGTACTGAGTTCTCGCTGTGGCTTCTCCCAGACCTAGCATGCTCAACTCCTATAAGAGTCACTTCTGTCTAGATTGCTTTACTTTCTTCAATGTCTTGGCAATTTAAGTCATAAGTCAAGTAAGACTAATTTAGTCTAATCTTTTGATTTATACTTGATCAGGCTGAACTGACTTTGGTGGCAACACAAGGTGAATTTTTAGTTTCATTAATACTATCATTTATAAATGTTAAGAAACCATCATATCAGGACAGTCTGATTCAGATACTCACTGGCACATGGAACCTTCCAAAGTTCAGACAGAAGTCTGAGGCAAGGCTTTTAAAGAAGACACCAGTTAAAAGAAAAATTAGCAAGTTAAGATAATTAGTTTGAAGGAAACTTCAGGTTTAGATTTATTAGAATAATATGAACAACTTACAAGTTTTTCACTGAAAACAATACTATTATTTAGGATGATTTTTAATATTTTTTTCTGCCTTTAGGCACCTCTTGCTTGCTAACTTGATATGACATATCTGCAAAAGTTAGCATTTACTTAAGCAACTGAACGGAAGTGTCTTTTGGATTAACCATTCAGTATTTTTAGTTCTAAATGGCTTGCAATTTTCATAAGAGCTATTTTTCACTGAATTTTGCCCACCATACCTAGAGATGCCTTAAGCTCAATTTTATAAACAATGAGTGTTCAAAAACATGCTGATTACTTGCAGAGTAAAGTTTGGAGAGAGCTCTGTATAGATAGGTTTTCATCCAATTTCCTTTTTTACCCTTTCTCTTTGTATCTCTGAGAAATTTTAAATGCCTTCCTCCATCAAACAGGACTTGGTAATGAGAATAACTTACCACACATCTGGGTTGACAGTGTCATTCTGTGATCTCCAAGGGTGGGTTTCATAAATAGCTTCTCCATTGACTTTTAGCCAGGTCCCCATTTGCCTTAATCGCTCCTCAAAAATTGGAGAAATGATGCCATCTTGTGTGGGCCCAATATTCATCAAAAGATTTCCTCCACATGAAACTGTTTGTACCAGTTGCTAAAAAATTATGAATATTGTTCTTAGATAAGACAATTCCACATGCATATGTTACTATGTTGTATTTATGTACTTACACATGCATATGCAGTCACCAGAAGAATACAGAAGAGAGAATAATGTCCTATGTTTGTAAGCCACTGAGCTATAGAAATTATAAAAAATAATTCTCACCTACACTATTAAGACTATAATCATAATAGTCACCATTTTACTGTACCTTCACCAATTCTTCAATTGTAAGATAGTCAGAGATCCCAGCATTCCTCCTATAGCCCCAGGAGAACTTGTCTATTGTCATGCAGTTTTCCCATTTATGTGGCAAAAGATGTCCTGGGTTATAACGATCACTGCAGGTATAATAGCCACCATGCTTGCAGATGCTGCCGGCTCCCCAACGGTCATTGGTGACGACTGTGTCCCGAACTGGGCTGAAATACAATATTTTTCAACAAAGTAAAAAATATTTACACAAAAGCAAATGTCACTGAAAAGAGGTCTAACTGAAATCCACTCCTGAAAAATAACCATAGATAATATAATGCAAAGCACATAGTTTTGAAATCAAACAGACCAGGATTGGTTGCAATCCTGGCTGTCACTTTCTGAGTCCTACAGTAAGCAACCTAACTTCTCTGAATAACCAACTTCTTCATCTCTTTTGTTAGAACAAAAATAATTCATGTAAGACACCTAGCCCAGTGTCCATTACTGGACTATTACTGGAAGCTCCCCTGCCACTTATTGTGAATGATAGCCAAAACTGAATTTATGCTCATGACAATCTTCTCATCTATGATTGAGTAATCCCATACATATACTCCAGACTCTCTTACAATTGTGCCTAATATTGAAAAATCTCAGGAAAGTCACCTGTTGCCTTATGGAATTCGCTGTGGCATGAAATATCCCATTATTTCTCATAGCAGGTGGAGCCTCCTGTACCTCTCCACTTACGAGGAGACAATTTTGGTTCACAAATGAAAGTGGATGGCTCCCAGGCTTTCCCCTTGGAAGGAATACCAAGAGAAACTGCTGTTTTAAGAATCAAGAGAGCTCCACAATATTTGTATATGCACCCTTTGTAGGCATAGAGAACACAAACAGAACCATGCCTGACTTTACAGCAATACCAAAAACATTCTAGTTTTACATATACATATTTGTTCCATACGGTTTAAGCCTAATAGAAGAGCTCAGTCAGAAACCCCCTAATGGAGCAGCCTGGAACATGCTAGAAAGCAGTAGGAAAAGAACAGGACAAGGTGAAAATGCTGATAAAGAAGGAAAAGAAGAGACAAAGATGGCATTGACCTGGCAAAGCACATAATCAGAAACAGTGATGAATCAATAGGGTTGTCTGAGATTAGAAGTTGAAAATGGGGACCCCCAAAATGAATGTCTGCAAAGTTCTAATGATTCTGTGATTTTTACTCTTTCAAAATCAGACTATTGAGTTGTATTGGACACCTGATTTGTAACTCTTGATTATTTTGAATAAATGCTGACATATCTAATAACCATTATTTATAATGATTTCCTCTCCCATTCCACAAATGAGCCTGAAAGAAAATATTTCACAAAGCAAAGGAATGAAAATGTTATGCATGTATTATGCATGTATAGGTAACTACAGCAATACAATAGCATACACACCTCTCATTGTACAGCCAGGCTAAGAAGCCTGTGCTGTTCCAGTAGGAATCTGGTGCTCCACCGTCACCATCTGCCCACAGGACTTCAGGCTGATACTTGTTCACTAAGTCATAGAGCTCAGGCAGCATCTTAAAATCTGGAAATTGTCGCTTATGAAATGAACTGAATTCATCATCAAGGAAGAGTGGATGAAACCATTCAAAAAGGGAATAATACAGTCCAAAACGTAGGTCAGTCCTTTTCCTAATGGCTAACTCAAGTTCCTTGACGATGTCCCTGTTTGGCCCCTCATCTACAGCATTCCAGTTCCATGAATACTTTGAGCCACATAAGGTGAAACCTGAAACATGAAATATCTTTGTAAGCATATCAATTTTGTTTTAGTAAATTTCCACCTATACTATTGCCAAAACAAATTGGACAGTCCATGTGATATACAAATGCTTCTACAAACAACTTTTATAGCAATTTTTTCTCATAGCATATAATCTGCTTGAATACAAGAAATAAATGAGAATTCAAATAAGGTGGAACCAAGTTTCTTTTCTTTTTAAGGTAACTCTCAGGGTACCCATAAGGTCTGTCTGATCTGTTTGTATTTTCCCTCTTAGAATACAAGCTCCTTCAGGGATAGTACCATGTCTGCAGCACAACCTGCTCTATCCCCAGCCAGCTGCCAACACAGACACGAGCACAAAACCAACCACTAACACTAGCAGGTCCCAAGATGACAACATGTTCCATATCCACCATGCTGCACAAAGAGCACTACTAATAATAAACACTCCTGAAATGCACTCCTGCAAGATTCTGACTTGCCTCCTGAGCCAAAGTATATTCCCTGGTTTTAGGATTATTTATTATATTGTGATTCTTACAACACTGGCAGTCCACGTACAGGACTCAATCTCCTTTAGCCTCATTTATTCAGTCAACCAGGGGTGGAAAAAGACACTATCCCCCAACAGTTCTGTACTCAAAACGTACCCACCATTTGTAACCTCATCCTACTCCAAAGTCAGAAGCTTAGATGTTGCTCTTTGAATTACCGAAAAGTGAATTACCTACCAACTAAATGGGTAAGAAAAATAACGTCTGCCATTAAACCAACACTCTAAAATAATTCCTATTTTAAAAGGAATTTGCACTTAGATTGCTGGTTATTCTATATAAAAAAACATTAGAAGCAATATAAACTGAAATACTAAGAAACAATATAAAAACCTCAAAATTTTTAGTTAGTGCCTAGGAACATAAGTACATTGTTACTATCCCACTAAAATCTACATGGATCTTGGAGAATAGATATACATAAGGTGCTGTTGGTGAAAAACATTAACTCTTATAAATTAGGACAAGTCTAAGATAAATACGCTCTTTAGATTAATTTTTAAGAAGCTTCAAAACAGCTCATATTTGCTCCAAAGATATTTGTGGTAAGCTTCAAAGCAGTGTCAATATTTAAGGTCTTACTCAAAATGTTTCAAGTCGACAGGCCCAAATGCTAGGCAGTGCTAAAACCACACAGGTTTTCAGTTCAGTGTGACCACCGTAATAAGCTCCCAGAGCGGTTTTCCCACATCACAGAGCTCACAGGAATCTTTTCCCTAAGAAATGAAAACCTGGGTCCTAGAAAGTTTATAAATATCGGCTACATTATCTGTCCTCACAGTATAATGAAGAGTTGTTTTATTGTTTTATATAAGCCCATTTATGTAATACTTCATGCCGTACAGCTTAGAGAGTTCCTAGACATCAGGAAATCAACATGTTCACAAGCAAATACACTTTATAAATACCCATCTCAGCAGGAAAAACATCTATAGGAGAAAATCATTAAGTCAACAAAATGTGGCCCAAAGGAAAAATATTCTAAGATAATCCCAGATTTTTAATTTTGCTTCTTCCCTCCTACCTGCTCCCTCTCTCACCCCTGAAGAAAGTGATGAGGCAAAATTTCTTACACCAAGGAAAAAATGGTCATGCAAAGCAAATTGTCAAATGAAGGAACATGCAGTTAGGACAACTGCAGTTTGCTGATGCTCCCTTGATCTTATGAATGCTGAAACGCTAATGGATGGAAACTATCCTATTCATGTAGGATCACCGTGATGGTTAATTTTATGTGTCAATTTGACTGGGACATGGGTTGCCCAGATATTTGGTTAAACATTTTTTTGGGTATGTCCCTGATGGTGTTTCTGCATATTAACATTTGAATAGAGAGACTAAATAAAGCTGATGACCTTCCCCAGTGTGGGTGGACATCACCCAGTCCCTTGAAGGCCTGAGTAGAATAAAAGGCTAAGAAAGAGAAATTCTTTCTCTCTGTCTGTCTCTGAGCAAAGACATAGTCTTCTTCTGCCTTTCAACTCAGACTTGGACTAGAACCTCCACCATCCACACTCCTGGTTCGCAGGCCTTCGGGCTCAGACTGGAACCACACCTCCAGCTCTACTGGGTCTGAACTTCTCAGCCTCCATAAATAGTGTAAGGTATATAACATAATATATATATTGTAGTACCTATTGGTTCTGTTTCTCTGAAGAATCCTGACCAATAAAACCAGTGTGTTTCCTTTTAGATATTCTTCCACCATATCTGGTATTTCTGGGCACCATTAGAGTTCCCTGATCCTTTTCCTTCCAGCTGATCTGTGTCACTTTCATTACTAGTAAATTGCTCACCATTTGGCCACCTAAGAGTTGGCCCAAACCACAGCCTTGTGTGTCAATACTGACGCAAGACTACAGCGGTATGCTCCCCCGTGGTGCCCTCCTGGAATGCACTGCAGTAGAACAAAAGGAAAGGAAGAAGGCAATTCCAGGTATAAACACTGGCTTGCAACCCCCATCCCACTTCAAACAGCTTTAATCTGATCTTGGATTATTGTTAAATATACATGTAACAAAATGTGGTCATTTTTCATTTCCTCTGTTATGTGGAGGGAATGACCTTTCTACATACCTAATGCCTCTCAAGTGGATGGAACATGTGATCCCTTAAATTATAAGCAAACATCAGTAGCTGCTTATGGTTGTTCCTAAGAAAAAAACTCTCATTTTCTGTGGATGATCTTGCTTTACTTTATTCTTCCAAAAGAACTACTTAACTTTGCCTGGCTGAGACCCCCAGCCAGCGTGTCCGCTGGGCGGGTGAGTCTGTGGACGACCTCGCAGAAACTGCCCACTGCCCGGGACGGCCACTGGACTGTGAACCCTGGTGCCAAGTCACCCCGTCCTTACTGGTTATTCAGCCCCTCGCAGGAGGGGCACCGAACACATAACCACTGTCATAACGGAACCATAACCACTGTCAGTGTCTGCAAAGGTTGCAATTATTTACCTTCATGATGCTTGGAAGTTAAGACGATATATTTGGCACCAGAAGCCTGAAAAATATCTGCCCACTGGTTAGCATCGAAAAACTTTGCTTTAAATAGTGGTCCAAAATCTTCATATTTGAAATCAGGAGGGTAATTCGCTTTCATAAAATCCACAAACTTCGTTATCTTTTCCTTTTGCCAATACCACCTAAAGGGAGGAGCAGAACACATAACCTACATACACATAAAACATTTTAAATAATTGCCCCAGTTCCCTTTTCTAATTCCCCCTTATTATTATATTATAATATACATATTATATCTTAATGCAATTATTTCTTAATATGCAAATTATTACACTATTTCTTTGTTATTTAATATACTATGATGCTATTATTATATTATTAAATATTGCCCAGATTCTCTTTCTCACTTCCCTGTTAGTTTGAATTTGCCTTAAAGAAAGCTTATGTAAACTTTCCTCCTTCTTCATCTATCCATCTGTGGGATCCACTTGGCTCATAAACTGGAACATTCTAGACAACCCAGCCACCCATGTGTTCCTAATTCTTCGCTTTTAAAAATGCAACATGTACTGTGTATCTTTACATAGTTGGTCCTTCGTAACGTAAGTGAGGAAGTCTTCAAAACGATGACTATGTGCCTGAAACATATAACATGTTATCTATTATATTCACTAGCAGAAAACAAGTGCAGCAGTAGACAACAGTTAAAATTAAGAAGATGCTATCATTTTAATATACTGATGGAACCTTCAAGCATTATTTGTTATATGCATTAATTCTGAGTAATGGGGCCTAAATGCACAAGCAAAGCTTCAGGAGAAATACCTTATCTAAAATATAATTATACATTTCAGGTAAACACAGCAGTAATGATCCTCATGAAATGCAAGCCCTATCTCTGACCCATCTTCTGCTTGTTCCACCACCACTCCTTTCATAAATGTACTTCTACAGGATAAGCAAACCCATGGTTAGCACTACATCCCCAAAGATCAGAAGGTTTTTCCTGCTCTGCTCACAACACTTCACTGAAGGACATAATTTGTCACAGACACTACTGTTTGCCAGTCCAAAGTTTTAAGAGATTACAAGCACCTTTGTACATAGACCTTAAGGTAAAACTAAGGAGCAATTTTGGGGGCAGCACTGCATAAATATTAATAATTAGGGTGTTTTGTGTTGGTTTGTTTTAGGGTAACCTAAAACTTATTTTACAAATCTCTAGAGCAATACATGGTAACTAAAAGGCCCATGCACGCCCGAATGAACACAAGTTTCCCAAACCCTTGAATTTTTGTTCCGGCCATACTTCCTGGCAGAACGGCTGAACGCAGGCAGGCAGCGGGCGCGCAGGCTCCGATTTGACTCACGCGGTAAACCCCGGAAATGCTAACGCGGCTGCAACCGCGAGCGGCGGCCGGGGACACGCGCGGGCTCGCGGGCACGGGCAGGGGCGCGCTCACCAGAACCACTCGCTCCCGAAGCTGGGTACGGAGTACACGCCCCAGTGGATGAAGATGCCGAACTTGGCCTGGTCGAACCACGCGGGCAGCTCGCGGGCGTCCAGCGACTCCCAGGTGGGGTCGAAGCGCGCGGCGGCGCCCGCGGGCCGGGCCGCGAGCAGCAGGAGCAGCAGCGGGAGCCCGGGCAGCGCCGCGGCGCGCATGGCTCCGCCGTCCGGTCCTCCCGTCCGCGCCCTTCCGCGTCTGGGCTGAGGGCGCTCGGCCGCTGTCACCTGACCCATTGTCCCGGGAGGAGGCACCTCCCCAGCGGCACGGGGGCGGCCGCCGTCCCCCCCCCACCACCTCCCCCGGGGCCCAGCGGGGCCGCGCTGCACCCTTGCCTAGCTGAGAGGCCAACTTACCCCAAAGCCAGCCCTGAGGCTGCCTGGCCGAGGCCCCCAGCCAGCGTGCCCGCTGGGCGGGTGAGTCTGTGGACGACCGCGCAGAAACTGCCCACTGCCCGGGACGGCCACTGGACTGTGAACCCTGGTGCCAAGTCACCCCGTCCTTACTGGTTATTCAGTCCCTCGCAGGAGGGGCACCGAACACATCCTCGGCACGCACCCCACCTCCCAAGCTTCTGGGCGTATTAGAACTGTGGCTGTCTATCAACCTCGAGTCAGTATCAGGTGAAAATCAGTTTTCCAGTCCGGTTGGGGCCCCAGAATTTGCACTGCCAACCGAGTCCTAGGTGAAACTGATGTTGTGGTTCCAGCACCAGGCTTTGAGAACCACTCACTGCCTTAGAAAACAAGGTGATCTAAGACAGGTGGAAACAGTGGAATGAACACTTAAGAACTCTGCAGACTTGGAAAAGAAGTTAGAGACTTGGAATGATTGCACAGGACTTCACTGGAAGCCTGTCTACCCGTCTTAAATGCTTTCAGAGTAAAACCAGAATCCGAGTAAAACCAGAATCCTTATCCTTTCTGCTCTTGCAAAACCCCTCTCATCCTCCACCCTCAATGGCCACTTCAAATGTCACATCCTCCCAGCTTTCTGACACCACCTTTTCTCCCAGACATTTTACTCGCTCCTACATGTTCCCATTAACATCTTATTCCAACTGCTAATACTGGATTTCATGGATTGTCTTGTATTTGGGAGGATACAGATCTCATTTCCTGTTAGAGCTTTCTGAGGACGGGGATAGTCACCTCATTTCCATAGTCCCTGAATTTAAAGCAGAGCCTGACATGAAGCGGCACTCAAAGCACGTTTGTTGACATCTTTCAGTGAACTGGGGTTCTAGTTATTGACTTTTATGAAGAAAACAGCACTAACGCCTATCTCTGCAAAGACACACGGGAACGACAGTAGCTTCTGTCACCCAGGCATGAGGGCATTCGTCCTCCTGATGCGTGTCCACAGCTCAGCAGGACCTCAGCTCCCCCACCAGGAGCCCACTCCTCCCAGGTAAGGGTCTCCCAGAAGAGAGATCAGGAAATGCACTGGCCATGCACACTGAACATGCATTACCAACTGCAGTAGCCCCAGTTAGTGATAGTGCAGGGTGGCAATTTATATTACCTAGTCTTTGATCCTAGAGTATCTAGGACCTCTGTGCTACTAACCCCCAGGGCACATTTTACAAAGAGATGGGCCTTTAGCCATGGAGCCTTGACATCCCTTGAAACAGAGATTTGTGTAGTAAGTGCAAAAGACATTTTTCACAGGAACGATGAGGCTGTGGATTCTCAACAAGGCCTCAGACACGGCCACGGTGACGATGCAGCGGTGACGCCCTGTCCTCCCACCAGGCAGCTTTGCCCTTGGGAGCCCCACATTTAGAAAGTATCCATCTTCTGTACAAATTTATTTTACTGTGTGATAGATTGTTTATATTTTCATGTATTTCAGTTAAAGAGTGCTAGTCAGACCTGATCTGCATAATTACCACGTGGGTCATTCGGCATTTCACTTTGTGGGAAACTGACGTGACTGGAGCCATTTTGGAATATGGAGTTGGAGTCACCATCAGAGAGAAACCACCTTCTCTGGGCCCAAACCTTTGGACTGGGCAAAACGCCCATCACTTTAAGTCATTTGAGAGGTGAGGTCAGCAGGAGAACACGTCCTGATCACAAGTCTGATGGTCCTGCACTTTCTGAAGGTAGAGTCGGCAGTCAGTCAGCGTATAGCCCAGAGTAGCTTAGTTTGTTAAAACACTCATAGAAAACTTTTTTTTCCTTTTCTTAACTCATGTAATTACCCCCATTCCTTTTCCTCAACCCCTTGCTTTCACCTTACAGGCAAGATACTATTTGGGTGTCTACCTGAATCTGTGCCCCCTGAATTGCAATCCTGAGACCCCCAAAGAAAGGGCCTTTGCTGTTCTTCAGTTTCACGTCCTTTTCCCAGTTGCTGTGGGATCCAAAGCCATGCACCACTCTGATTCCCACCCCAGGCTGTATCCAAGCCCAGTGCCTGCCTGACCCCACTGTGCTCCATCATCTTCCCTGATGGCTCTGGGCCCTGGTGGTAAGTCCTCTCCATTCCGAACCTCCCTCTCTTTAGTTGAGGTTCAGACCTGATTTTTTTGGGTGTCTTTCTGGTGCCAACTTCTGTCTGTCTACAGAGAGCCATGCTCTTCTGTCTAGTGACTATTCTATGAGGTCTTCCATTTCTGAAGAATTACTGCTGGAAAGCAGCCCCTGTCTGGGTTTATGTTCTGGGTCCATTTTTTATAAGTTTTTGTTTCACTAGACCCATCTGACTAAAACTGACTTGTTACAGTGACCACTTTGGGGATTTTCTGAGATTCCAAATTAATTTATTTACATGCACAATTGAAAAAAGAAAAGAAGCATATATCAGTTGGTATTTGGATGTCTCCAAGAAGTCAAAAGATTCTAAACTTGCTTCAAGAAAATAACTCAAAACTTCCTAAGCTAACTCTGACTGCCCTCAGAGACTAAACTAGAAAATACTGCTAAGGAGGTAAAGCAGGAACATGGGACAAGCATCATGACTAATTTTTCCTGCGTATGATGAAAAATGCTAAGAAATAAATAGTAGAGTAAGAACAGGAGGGACTCCATCTTGAGGCTAAGATTCCATTTTAAAAACCAAGGAGTTAGGAGGTAAGATTCCTCACATACTCTATGGTAATTAGCCACCAAACGACCCTACCTTAAGGCAAGGCAGGCAGTCCTAAAATGATATGTTCCCACTGCTTGAGGGTAACCACTGTCTTAGAGAAGAACAGGATCAATAAATTCTTTGTGTTAAGTTTATCTTACAGAGTATCTGGAGGACTGAGTATGGGTAATGACATAATCTCTCTCACTGGAGATAGACATCATGAGACCACAAGTCAAGCCTATGCCCTCTTGGCCCTTTACCCCACTCGAAATCCTTAAAAGATATGAATCCTAAGCCATTAAGAGCTCCTTATCTCTGAGGCTGCCCACACTCCCCTTTCTTTGAGTTTGTATTTTGTGTTAAATAAAGCCTTCTTGCTGCTCAACTTACTGTTTTGTCTCTGTGCTCTTCCAAGCCTCTTGGGAGATTAATAAGAGACCCCTTTCCCAGTGGTAAACCTCTTGTTACTTCACTATTTCATTCAACTTCCTAGACTTAAGCACAAGTCTTCACTCTGTTCTACTTAAGACAAGTAGGCAAGGGCTACTAAGATCTCTGATTTGGGCTTGCAAGTTCCCGTCACCTGGGTGACCTGGACAGGACTGCAGCTGTATGATCATGCTTTAGTATCCTGCCCAAAAATCTCCTTTTTTTGATTTGATGAAGTTCTCCGAGAATAATTTCACTCCATTCAGTACCCCATAGCTCCCCCCAAATCCTGTCACAGTAAGGGTTTAGTTCCCACACCGGCATATTCAAGCAGACAGTGGACTGCAGGTGCCCCTGGCTTCAGGAGTTGGCAAGGAAATCTGCCCTATGCCAAGCAGGAGTTCAGTGAGCTTTCCCCTCTGCTCTTCATTGTTCTCTACTGCCTGCATGGCTGCTGTCATTTGCTGCTACTCTCACTTTAATGAATTCCTTCCTTACTGTAACTCCAGGGGGAAAATCCAGGGGGCAAAATACCTTTGGAACTGAAGAAATCAGACAAAGGGGGAAATAAAGTGGGAGAAACCCATTTATTTCGTACAAGCAGTCCACTTCTGCTCTCCCATGTCTCTTGTGACCTGGCTGCAGAAGAGGCCCCCACCCAATCTCTCTGGTCCAGATAAGCCCTAGCTGGCCCTTGTAATTACCTATTGATACAGAGAAGGACTACTTCTCTCCACCCCTTGGAAACACCTATTGTATGGAGATGTACTAAGACCAGGTGAGAGATTTCTGGAAATATTGCTATTTTACCCACACTTGCCTACAACTCATTTGACCTGTTTGTGAATTCTTTCTCAATCAGAGTCAAGAACTCTCCCCCATCCAGGTTGAGGTGTACCTAGTACACAGGGAGAGACCTCTCCAGACTCAGCTGTCCTACAACACTAGGACTTCTGATCTAATTGTGGCAGCTACTGCTCCTCCTCGACCCTGTTCTCTGCTCTCCACCTAGAAGTCCTAGGGTAGCTGAACTTCCATTC